TGCTCCAGGGTTTTCCATTCCTGAGCATCGCCAAACGACTGAATCAATAACCAGAAGTGTTCCATTGCCTCCTTGAGGTCCTTATTGACATCGACTTCCTCTTCTGCTGTTGTGACGACATCCGAAGCCGCACTTGCATACGCTTTTGCATATCGCCCCAGCAGTTGGCCTAATGTGGCAACCGAATCTGTATAGTCAGAACGGTCCCGAAGGTTCATCACGGTCTTCTTTAACCGATAGAGCAAGGCGTCTTTTTCCTGTCCGGCTAGGTGTTCTTTGGCACTGTGAACTGCATCTTTTCCGGTGCGAGCAACACCATTGCCTGCGACCTTCGCTACAGTAGCTGCCTCTTCACGTAATTCTTCGTTTCCTGCAGAACGGCCCTCGTCGGCGCCTGCCCCTTGAATAGCATCTACATCTTCTTGAGAAGGTTTAAGCTCCTTTCCTATCTGCTGCGATGTCTTGGACAACGAGAATGCCGTATCGGAAAAGATCTGGCGGCCGACGGTCGACAGATCATCAACGAAGAGCCGGAAGTCCGCGTTGGTCAGGAGTAGGCTTCCCACAGTGCGCAGGCTATCATATGCTGGATCACTATTGTTAGCTCATTACTCTATGCCCTGTGGTACCCACAGCCTGGTGCATGAACAGAAAAGAACGGAAGTCGGTACCCGCTTTCGTATCCGCCCTTGCCTTGGTTTGATTGGCTCGCTGCTGTATCTTGTTGGGGTCGATGGACGCTCTGGAGCGTGAGAGGTGCCACAAGAACTCCTGGAGCTTATCATCACCATTCTTCTCTTGCAAGAGCTCGATGAACACTTGGATCCAGAGGCGGCAGTCGCGGACAATCTGACGGCCGACGGTGCCAACATCGTGGGTATGAGGGGAAAGGACATCGGAAGCCAACAAGGTGCGCAGATTGATGATGGTTTGTTCAGTAGACGGCATGTACCCATCCGAAAGGGCACGGATCATCTGGTATGTGTGTAATTTTTGATGCAGGCGACGCTGGAGGGTCGTGTCCTCCCGGTAGCGAGGGAGGAGGGGCTCTGTCTCTCCTTGCGGCATGATGAAGGATGCCTGGCGTACCAGGATGACTTGCCAAAACACAAAGCTAGGTACTACCTGATGGAAATTGATGAAGATGGAGATGGTAAATGCACACAATGAACAGACGGGAGATGATGAGTATCTGCAAACCTGGCCGAGCAAACAATGGGGAATGGAAGCAGGAAAAGAGGGGAAACCGGCAGCTGGTTAGCTGATTGCAAAGCTTCCCGGTTGTTGTTGCATGTCTCGATCACGGGCCTGCGCCTAATCACCATTGCGTCACCGCTACTGGCCGGGTTCGGCCGCAGTCAGGTGACACGCCGGCATTGTCCTATCATCGCGATAGCCTTATTATCTCCCAATAATCATTGCTTCTGCTTCTTCCAGTCTAGATGTAATCAGGTAATAGCTGGATCATCCCAGACGGAGCATCATATATGCCATTCTGCCCTGTACAACTGCAACGGTCCGGATGGCTGACTGCGAGATTCGATAACGGCTCACTGATAGATACACCATCGCATGATATCCTTATCTCAAGACTCGACATTCTTTTGTAAACCACGCAAGGCCTGTGTGATCTCAAAGCTGTAGCAGATGGTGTAATGCAATGAAACGCTGGCACCGCAGTCCTTCAAAACGACGTAAGGGCGAACGAGATCTCTGTTGCCTGAATAGCCTGTACAAGGACCGATAACATGGAGGTATGACTGTTACATACACCTGCAAGGTTAGCAACGATGGCCGCGGAGTATTGCATGCTTTCCGAAGTCCTGTCCGATGAGTCAAGTATGGCCAGAGTGCCACCACGCCGATTTTATGTCAAACAGGTTGACCGCTGTGGGATACGATGGATCCAAAACCAGGAAAGCATCGTCACACATATTGACGACTAAGCCAACAGTAAATAGCTCTCAGATTCCAGTGTGTATGACCTGTATCACACACTTCATGGGCTAGAGTCACCCAGCTTCAATCTTTCTCTCATCAGGCGTTCAATGCGGGAGGTGCTTGAAGCATCTGAGGTATAAGCCGCGGCTAAACCGCTGAATCCAAGGAATGGAAGGATCAGCACCAGTCAAGCTTTGTGATCCATGCAGCTCGGGTCCGGGGCTGGTCGAGGAACTGCTGAAGTGGGTAACCCGGTCAAAACCTGCATGGTTGCGTGGATGGATGCGCGGGATGAGGTACAAACTTCAGCCACCGTGTCAAAAGTGAGGGATAAATTGGACATAAGAAAAATCGCTCGAACGGGCATCAGGGTCCAATGGCTTAAGAAATCGCTCAGGACAGCCCACGCTATCCTAATTAGATGAGTTGGAGATCAACAAGAATTAGTAGTAGCTCACACGCGACTACAACAGTAGTAAGTAGTATATCGGCAAGAGCACCAATGGGAGTGGAGTCTGTAACCGAATTCTATACTTTTGACTAGGGAGGATATACTTAGCACTAACAGTGCACAACAATCATAATTCCATAGTAATTGATCACTAGCTCAGAACTAGACACGTTTAGCTTCCACGATAATTTCTCACTTGACAATTAATAATGAGATGAGCCTCGACCTCGTAAGCTGGTCGTGTGCAGGAGACGAAATTTTGCGTGCTTCCGACGGAGACAGCACGGTTCACACTTACACTACTAATTATACTACTCTCCACTGCGAGAGAGCAAGTCGAGCAGGAGAGGACCAATCATGAGGGAAGGGTTACTGCCTCAGATATTATTCACTGGAAGCTACGGAAGATTTTCGCAGTTTCGCAGGAGGCGACTCCATCGGATGCTCCATCGGTCGGGACCGATCGGCGAGGCGCAAGGCCGTTTGAAGTTTCAGACTTTTTATTATTGGGCAGCCAGGACCGCGGAATTTGGAGTCAAAATTGGAGACACGACAATAAAAGATTTTTTTTTTCTTTTTCTTTTCTTTTTTTGCCTGAACCTTTATTCGCGCATTTCTGATCGGCGCAGTCAGGTAATGCGCAATGTGTTTCGAAGGGTAGTCTGGGATGGGGGCGACGAGCTTCCTTTTTGCATTGCGTCTGCACCACGGAGTATTCCGGGTACGATTCACCCTTGCTAGGAATACTCCGTGGTGGATTGGATCAACACACACACCGGGCAATACGAGTCAATGTCGGGTGACAAGCCAACAAGTTTGAGGACAAGTTTGAGGGATTTTATGAGCTTTGGGAAGATTTGAAGATATTCGTATATGTGTGTATATCTAACAATCGGCCGACAAGACACGAAACACAGATGCGATACTAGTACAGACACATACTGATTTGGTGTATGTGTGTGTGCGTATGTGTGTGTAAGTGTGTGTTCTGGTGCTGGCTTTTTGCAGCCGCTGACAAGACCCGAACTCGGCCATTGTCCGGGCCGCGTTGCTGCGGGGAATGTTAGCGGGACTATTTTAGACTAATGGCTGGCACAGCATGAATAACATCCGGTCCAGAATCCTTCCTGGTTCAGTTAGATCGTCTGGAGACTTGGGGCCTGGCAGTTAGCTTAGGCAACTAAGCTGGCTTAGTGGGCGTAGTTTAGCCTGTTTCTCTGCCACATGAGACCCGATCCACCTCAACCACCATGGCTGGACCCTTTGCTCTTGTTGGCTTAGCGTCTGCTGCGTGATTCCGATGTCCACGACTCTACGCTGAATTCTGACTAAATCGGGTCCACCATCCGACCAGCAGAAAGAATGGGAATCGGGTTTGCCATCTCGGAAATCGGGGCCCGTAAGACAGTATACAGTATAGGGTATAGACCTCCGTCGTAGGGCGGACGGCGATAAGAAGTGATGTCCTGGACTTAAGAGATCAGTCCACCGTAAGCAGGATATAATTGTTGACAGATATCACATTCTTTTGGAATTGATTAACCCCTTTACCCCCCCCATGCTAGTTTCTACACTGGTAGATCTCATACTTTCGGGCGCTCGGAGTATAATTGTACACAGTAAGCCAGTAGTTGCAGAGGGATTACCCGAAGTGCATCTGGATGAGCCAGAAGACTGACAAGTACCCCGTACAATCCAGACTGATGATGCTAGTGACTCGATCAGCTCTCTCAACTCACACCTACAATTCGTACTTTATGCATCCCCAACAATACGCATGGATTGTCAGGAATCCTGTTTGGTTATGGTATAATTCTGGTATAGGTCTGTAATTATTATCCAACAAACAATTCATAGAGCAAGAGGGATCCATATCTAGAACCATCTATTACCGAAACAAGGGGGAATTTCCGTTGTAAGTATGTCAGCTGCCACCACATCCCAACGGGAAAGAGACTTTAGAAAAAAAAAAAAAAATAGAGAGAAAAAAGAAAAAAGAAGAAGGTCCCTCTTTCCCCCCACTCGGACTTTGGAAAGGGAAAGAAAATGTGTATTCCGTAGGAAGTAAATGAGTAAGTGAGTGAGTGATTGTGTGTAAACGAAAACCAAAAAATTAGGAATAGAAACAAAAATACCAACAACAGCAAGAGGAGTACAGCAACAATACCCAAAAACATGGCATAAACACAATAAACACCTCAAATCGAACAGGTCGTGTGTGAGTTGTGTGTTGTGTTTTCGCTGTACTCGGTACTACAACGTAGCCGTCGTCCTGGAACGAGAAATACCTCAACTTTTCTCCTCATTATCTTCTTTCTCTTTCCCACCCCCCAAACACCGAAATTCAACATTTGGAAGGTCCAAGCCCCTCACGGGATTTGTCAATCTATTGCGCCTTTATTCAAAATTTCTTCTTTCACATTAAAAAAAAAAACCATGAATTGAAGCTGAATCAAAAGGACCAAAAACAATCTGTGCGTCTCAAATGTTTTTTCAATTTTTCTCCGCATTTGTCGGATTCGGAGCGAGCTCCCGTTTAGTTTACTCCACACCCGTCCCAATCTGACCCAATCTGACCCGTTCAATTTCCACCTTTCTCCCTCCCAAGCTTCGCCTTTTTTTCATAATTCCCACCACAGAGTGTCTGTGACCAGCGACCCAGTCGAAACGGTTCGCTGCCATGCAACCATTGTACCCCGATACCCACCGTACCGGTCCCGGTCATCCTGAGTGGTCCCTTGCATCCCGATTCTTCCCGATTGCTGTCATCCCTAATCAATCCACGGCCCTGGTTCATAGTCTTGACGACGACCTCGTTAGAAGATCACGACCGGTGTTGAGACACTTGCTTGGTTGAACTTCGGCATGCGGTGGGTTCTTACTCAGGGGGGTTCAATGCGACTAGCCCAGGGAATACATAAAATCAGACTGCCACCAGTCGTCTCCTCGCCTCAGTTGATCCTCTCCTCCACTGCCATCAGCTCTGCTGCCTCCTTCAATCTCCCCTCTTCTTCTGATATCGTTGGTGTTCGTTCCAAGAGTATCCTGGCCGTGACTCAGCCTTCCACCATGGCTCGATTTCCCGCTCAGCAAAGCCGTCCCGTCCACGCGACCTCCTTGGTGAACCATGCGGCACCTGTGTAAGTACCGTCTTTTGCCTCCCGTCTTCGACGGCATTATCACATTTTCACTTCTGCCATCCTAGTTACTGACAATGCCTTCCTCTACGTCTAGTGATGCCAACTATGACACTGCCAACCCTGCCTACATTCGCAAGTATCTCCGCACCTACGGCTTGACGCCCCCGCGTGCGGAGTCATACGAGACCCAGAAGACTCGCTGTGCGTATATCCGTAGATGAGGAATGCTGGTCGGATGGGGTTGGAAGCTAATGGCGTTGCAGGCCTCGCTCAATTGGCTCTCAAGCAGACCCCCATCGACAAGTTCCTCTACCTCAGCACTCTCCGTAAGAACAATGTTCACCTGTTCTACCGTCTGGTCACGGACCACTTGAGGGTAAGCCTGCAGCTGCAGAACCACTTTCTTGTAAGCCAATGAGCTAACACCACACTAAGGAATTGACTCCCCTCATCTACACTCCCGTCGTTGGAGAAGCCTGCCAGAGATGGTCTGAGATCTACCAGCAGCCCGAAGGTGTGTGGCGAATCCCTGTCTAGCGTGCTTATCACGGGCTGAATCGGCCGCTAACCATGCACGTCTAGGTATGTACCTGAGCTGGGAGGATCGCGGCAACCTGGCCGCTGTCATTGCCAACTGGCCCCAGCCCAACGTCGAAATCACATGTATCACCGATGGTTCCCGGATTCTCGGTCTGGGTGACCTTGGCATCAACGGCATGGGTATTCCCATTGGTAAGCTGGCTCTGTACACTGCCTGCGCGGGTATTCGCCCCGAGGCCACCCTGCCCTTGACTCTCGATCTGGGCACCAGCAACAAGGCTTTCCGGGAAGACCCGTTGTACATGGGCAGCCGCCGCGACAAGGTGACTCCCGAGGAGGAGCGTGAATTCTTGGATGAGCTGATGGCTGCTCTGACCGAGCGCTGGCCTGGGTAAGTGGCTCATGCATGATCGACCCGACTGGATTTGTTGCTTACGCGTTGCAGTATTGTGATCCAATTCGAGGACTTCAAGAACCCCTTCCCTGCTCTGGAGCGTTACCGTGACAACTACACGTGCTTCAACGATGACATCCAGGGTACTGGTGCTGTCATCCTCGGTGGTGTTATCAACGCTGTCAAGCGCTCTGGCCTTCCTTGCAAGGACCAGCGCGCCGTCTTCTTCGGTGCTGGTAGCGCCGGTGTCGGTGTTGCTAAGCAGATTGTTGACTTCTTCGTCCGCGAGGGCATGACCGAGGATGAGGCCCGCGCGTGCTTCTACCTGGTCGACACCAAGGGTCTTGTCACTGCTGATCGTGGTGACAAGCTCGCTGATCACAAGGTCTACTTTGCCCGTACGGACAACAACGGCCTGCAGCTGAAGACCCTGGAAGATGTTGTTGACCATGTGAAGCCCACCATCCTGATGGGTCTTTCTACCATCGGTGGTGTCTTCACCCCCGAGCTCCTGCGCAAGATGGCTGAGTGGAACACTGCCCCCATTGTCTTCCCTCTGTCCAACCCCTCTCACAAGTCCGAATGTGACTACGAGAGCGCCGTCACCAACACCGATGGCCGCGTGCTGTTTGCCTCTGGTTCTCCTTTCCCCCCCATGTCATACACCAACACTGCTGGCGAGACCCGCACCTACTACCCCGGCCAGGGCAACAACATGTATGTCTTCCCTGGTATTGGTCTAGGTACCATCCTCTCCAAGTCAGTCAAGGTCACCGACAGCATGATCTACGCCTCGGGTGAGGCCCTCTCCAAGGCTCTCCTTCCCGAGGAGATTGAGCGTGGCCTTCTCTACCCCGACTTGACCCGCATCCGTGAGGTCTCTGTCGTTGTGGCCCGCAACGTCATCCGGGCGGCACAGGAGGCCAAGGTCGACCGCGAAACCGCCCTGCGCAGCATGAGCGACGAGGACCTGGATGCCTGGATCAAGGCCCGCATGTACAACCCTCACACCGAGGTCTTGGCCTTGGAGCGGGAGGTTGGCTCTATCCTGGCTAGCCTGGGACCCAGCGCCTTTTCCCTGGAGGCTCTGACTGAGGAGGCCGAGAAGAACTCTAAGCTGTGAGCTTAATTTCTTTGCTTAGCTTTCCGGCATCTCATTCTTAAAATACTGGCTTTGTTCTGTTTTCGAGCGCTTTTTGTTTCCCGGATCCTGCTTGGAAGGATGCGCTTTTGTATACCCCCATTCTTTCACGGATTCTGACCCCTCTTAATGACGATTCTGTTGTCGGATACCACCGATGTCGGACTAGTTTTGGTTAGCATAGATGCTGGTCTTGTGATGGATAAAACGGATGATTCAATGATCAGATCTTTTTTTCGGGCTATAGTTTTGCCTTTTCGTGGAATCCCGCTAGACGGAACTCGTAGCTTCCTTCATCTTCCGACATCCCCCTTGTAGTTATTACAGTGGATATCTGTCTACCCCATGATTCCGAATCGACCCGTTAGCATTCTTTTGTGCGAGGTTTTAGTTTCCGAATCGGGCATGGATACCCCTGCACCTGCAGTCAGCGTCATGTGATGGAGGGATTCATCGCCGTGCGGGGAAGGACAACGACATCTGCCAGTGAGTGAGTCACCTCCTCGCTGCTTCACATGTTAGTTGTCCTGCTGTTGCTGATCACTCCAATTTAATCTATTCTATTCAGACAGAGTCTAGCCACACCCAGACGAGTGATGGTCAGGCTGTCCTGCGGCCAGACCGTGATATATGACCAGGATGCATCAACCTAGGCAACCTGGGTCACTGGCATGTGTAAGTGGGGATAAGATGACAGACTCACCCCAGACGCAGGGTCTTCTCCATCACGGACCGTACAGATAAGCTTCTGCAAGCTAAGCAATAGAGCTGCAGCTCGTGCAGGCCCTGTTAGATCGGCGATGGATTCCGCCCGTCACCCTCCCCCCCCCGTCCGATCGGTTCCACTGGGCTGAAGTCGGTAATTGGCCAGGGGTGAAGCTATAGCTCGATTTGACTCGAAAAGGCCCTGTCACAGCTGTCAAATGGTGGTTCCACGGACGGATTACCCTGCATTGTCCGAGTGGTCGGGAGGTTGCATCCCGATGTCCGGCTATCTTGACCGTGGATATCCGGTCGTCCGAGGTTTCACGCGGGGGACCATTTTCCCTCCGATTTTACCCCAACTGCGGATTTCGTCCCTCATTAAGCTTGGATGACTGATACTTTCTGATTAGCTCAGAATTGGGGTCAGACTGAGAGGATAGTGCTGTTTCATCTTGACTTATGATCTCTTCTATAAGCACGGACCGACTCGGCAATAATGGGAGTCGGCTCGTCTATCTGGGTGGTAATTAGGTCCCATACCAGCTCCAACTCACTGATCATTTTTACTCACTTTAATTTGACACAAGTAGATGATGCTCTTCACATGCTTATAGTTATTATAGTTGCCGGAACCGATAAGCATCTGCAGAAATCTTGGCTCGATGCTAACGGCTATCCCCACATTGCGCCATGAACAAACCTCCACGTGGATTCTGGCCTCGGCTGCTTTTTCGGGCCGCCGGTGACTTATCCCGGGCAACCCCCAGTTTTTCAGGGTCGCATTCAGCTTTTCCTTTTCTGTCACCGGCACACACACATTATGGCGTCCTTGCATGATCCCGTTAAGCTTCCCTGCGGGCTGGTCTTTCCGAACCGCCTAGCTAAGGTGGGTGGCTCAATTTCCCGGAAGCTTAATCATGATTTGTCTGACTCGCTCAGGCTGCGATGGCCGAGGCACTGGCCGGCTCAGGCAATGAGCCAACTCCAACGTTGCTGAAGGCATACGACCAATGGGGACAAGGAGGTTGGGGGGCTCTCCTTACAGGTAGCGACCCACTGTCGACACACATAGTGCGCTTCTAACTGCAATATGATCATTAGGAAATGTCCAGGTGGATGTGGACCATCTCGGAAACCCTTGGGATCCTGCCTTGCATGCTGAGTACACAGGAAAAGAAGGCAACGAGGCTCTAGTTGCACGCTGGAGCCAGTACGCCAAGACGTGCCAGCAGCATGGCACCCCGTGTATCGTACAGGCCTGCCATCCTGGCCGACAAACGCCCCGGGCTGCAGGCCGCAGAGGTGTCTTGGCTCCGTCAATTGCACCTAGTGCAATTCCTCTTGACATGGGTGAGGGCTTGGTGCAGCGCCTGCTCACCTGGCTCGTTTTTTCGCCACCCCGAGAAATGACTCAGCTTGATATCGACCGAGTCACTCGTCAATTTGTGGACACGGCCCGTCTGATGGCCGACAGCGGATTCTCCGGAATCGAGCTGCATGGCGCGCACGGTTACTTGATTGGTATGTCACTGCACTCCTGCTACTGGTCGTAAGCTAATTGACAGACCAATTCTTGAACGCCAAGGTAGTTACACCCAGTATCCGAAAGATCTAAGCTGACTGAAAAGTCCAACAAACGCACCGATGAATATGGCGGGACGGCAGAGAAGAGAGCCAAATTTGTGGTCGACATGATCCACGCGATCCGCGAGGTGGTGCCGCCGACTTTTGCTATCGGCATCAAGCTCAACTCTGCTGACCACAGCTCTTCGACGTTTGAAGACACGATGACACAGATCGGACTTCTCATTGAAGCAGGCATTGACTTTCTGGAAGTCAGCGGCGGCAGCTACGAGAACCCCACGGTCAGCACACGTTAATTGTTCATACTCATGTTCAGACTGACATGTCTTAGATGATGGGACCCGAGAAACGCCCGAGCACTGTTGCTCGGGAGGCCTTCTTCATCGAATTTGCCGCCGAAACTCGCAAGCGCTTCCCGGATCTTGTGCTTATGCTGACTGGCGGTTTCCGGACCCGTGCTGGCGCCATGTCTGCTTTGCAGCAGAATGCGTGCGACGTGGTGGGAATCGGACGCCCGGCTGCGATTGAGCCGAGACTGCCCTTGATTCTGATGGACGAGAGCGTTTCGGATGAGGAAGCGCAGTTGGTGCTGAACCGGGTTCCGATGCCGTTCCTTGCACGGTTGCTTCCACTGAAGGGAATTGGAGCTGGATTGGAGAGCTCCTTCTATGCGAAGCAGATTAAGCGGATTGCGATGGGATTGAAGACATTTCTCCCGTAGTGCTGCTGTGTCGAAGGATGAGACTGTACATGTATAACAGAGACACTAGAATTATATAGATAGAATACATATTACAGAATATAAACAGAATGGTGGTATAGACGATAGACTATCAAAATCAAGGCTAATTGTATCATCGTTGTCCCCAACTGGTTCACATTGTACCAAGATAACTAAACTAGCACATTGCTTTGCACACCAAGTGAATAATCATATTTTGATTATGACATGCTCTACACGAGAATCTCACATCAATATATATGCGTTCCAGCATTATATCGATACAAAGTGTCTAATCAGTCTAGCACTCCCATCACCACACCACCAACGATACCCACCGCCCTCCACACCGCCCCACCTCCAACCAACCACAACCTCCCGTCACCCCCATGCGCACCCATTCTACCCGACAAATCCACCTCTCCAATAATTCTATCCCCAAAATTTTCTTATCAGCCAAACCAAAACCCATCACCACCTTCACTCTCCCCCAATCTTTTCCACCCTCCCCAACCCATTTCCACCTCATTCCTCCGGGGATCATAATAAACCAAAATGCCCCGCGCCCTCAAACACCACGAGAAAAAACTCCTCCGCAAAGTCGACTTCCACACCTACAAATCCGACAACAACCACCGAGAATCACAAATCCGCACGCGCTACCACCTACAAGACCCCCTCGACTACCGCAAATACAACCAGCTATGCGGATCCCTCCGCCAACTGGCCCACAAGCTATCCGAACTGGACCCTGAGAGCGATCCCGTACGCAAGAAGTTGGAGTCCGAGGTGCTGGATAAGTTGTTCCGCATGGGGATTTTGAAGCAAAGTCGGGAACAAGGGGCGGGACTTTCGAGAGTTGAGAGGGAGGTTACGGTTAGTGCGTTTTGTCGCAGGAGGTTGGCGGTGTGGATGGCCAGGAGTGGGATGGTGGAGAATGTTAAAACGGTATATACATATATTAATTACTTACTACTATATTATCCTTTGGGTGAAACGCTATATGCTAATCTGCTCCTCTAGGCTGTTACCTTCATCGAGCAGGGTCATGTTCGCGTCGGAACGGAGGTCGTCACGGATCCGGCGTACCTTGTTACGAGGAATCTGGAGGATTTCGTGACTTGGGTGGACTCGTCGAAGATTAAGAGGAGTATTATGCAATATCGTGATAATTTGGATGATTTTGATATGTTGTGATACCTCTCTTATCTATTTCATGTTATTTTTATTCTGTGTGTGTGTGTGTGTGTGTTGTGTGTGTGATTTTGGGGTTTGGTTTGGAGTTCTATGGAAAAGTCACTTGTGTTTTGTGAAATATACTACTATATTACTATGTTATGCGTGTGCTGTGTTGAATAGTGCATATGCATACTGGTCATGGTGTTGGTATGATTCGTATATCATTATAAAGAATGCATCTAGCTGGGTATCAAATGCAATCAATCATCCGCCAGAAATAAAAACACGCTGGAACTGATAAGCAACAACTAAGACTATAATTTACTCCAGGAAATGGTTAAGCAGTCTTCACTCTCCCTCCCATTCGATGAATCACCGTCTTCCGGCTTAACTTGAAACCCTTTGGAAGGGTCCCTCCCCGCTTACTCTCGCACTCTTCTGGCAAATCCATACGGAACCGCCGTACACTCCCCTCATAGTTCCCCTTTCCATCCTTGCCCTCTTCGAAGAACGGCGTGCGGTGGTCTCCGAATTGACACCATCGCGGCGCTACTCGGCGCCAGAATCCACGTACTCCACTACTGGCGCGGTCGATCTTTTCGTATTCGCGCCTCCGTGTGGAGGGCGATGTCCAGTCGATCACGGTGACTGTGGGTTGCACGGGAGACGTGCATGCTGGCTCGTAGGCACTGAATGTAGCTGCGCGGATTGGAGCCCGTGGGGAGTCGTTTTGGATGCTTTGGTCTGGGTAAGTCGAGATGGAGAGTGGTGTTCGCAATGTAGGTGGGGAGCTGGCGTTGGATGCAGAGCGCAGAGGTCGTGGAGGAGTACGTGATGTGCTGGAAGATGGGGGTCGAGATGCTGATGCTGATGCTGATGCTCGTGGGCTAGGTTTGGATGTAGAGAGGCGGCCGTCGTCTTGGAATAGACGGCATGATTCACGATGCAGAGCTATCAGGTCTTCACGCCGGGCTGTTCGGTCGGATATCGGTGTTATAGAAGCTGTGGTTGTGGAGCGACGGTGTGAGTGGAGAGAGCTGTGTTGGCTGTGAGGGCTGGAGCGTCGCGAGGAGTGAAGCTGCTCAGGAGTTTTGGTTGTTGTTGGTGATGGAGGTGAGGTTGTTCTTTTGCGTTTGGAGGTTCGTCGACTATTTGTTTTCGTGGAAGATGATGGAGTAGTCGTGGTGGTGGTGGTCTCCATACCGTCGGAGAGCTGCTCATCGACTACTGGGATAGATACGATGGGCGGACTGCCTGCCCCCACGGTGATATCGGTGACTTCGAGGGTAGTGGCGTATACTTCTTTTGAATCAGGGTCGTTCACACCGGGTGAGACCATGGAGAGAGAAGGGACTTTTGTCATCAAATAGGATGTAGGTGTAGATGTATGCTCTGGCGCTGGGCTGAGCGGTGGGGAAGAGATCGTAGGAGAAAGAGGACGATGGTTGGAAGAGCCACCAGGAAGATCGGGGCGCTGGCATGTGAACGTGGCCGCCATCGTTATTTTGTGCCTGTGCCTGGCCTGCACTTCCAGGGCCGAGAACCGTAGCGGGATGGGATGTATTTGACTGAAGAATGACGCGGTCCAGCCGGATTCACATGCTCCCTGCCAAATGGCACCAGTCAGGAGAGCAGTGAAGAATGCGCGATCAACAGCGGGTCAACATGCTTGTGCTATAAACAGAAATAGGAGAAAAGCGATCGAAATAAAGATGGAGGTAGAGAGTAAACGAAAAAACGAAAGGAGGAAAAGGATGTGTTCTATGGAGTATGTCAGGAGGACACAGAGAACCCGATAAGATTAGGGTTCTGAGAGGGGGAGAGGGGGGAAGTTGGCTGCTGGCAAGGGACAAATGATGAGGGTCAGTCGATCTTCAGAACACGAGGATCATCAGCACGTTTTAGGGATAGTCACGATGTACAGTGTAGGGATTGCTCCAAGAAAATGAAAGACAAAGGGGAAGGATTTGCGGGATGAATGAATGCACCTGGCAAGGAAGGGATGAATAGATAGATAGCGTAGTTAACTAGGGGTGGGTTCGAGACAGGTCTTATTATAAGTAGAAGTAGACTACGAAAGATGAACTAAAGATTCACCGACCAGGCATGCCAACTTCGATTTTAGTTTCTTTGCAAGCGCCTGCAAGACCCTCCCCGGCGGCAGACCAAACCGGTTCAGTCTTTAAACACGGGCTACTTTTAGTTTAAGAGTGTGGAACTGCCAGATGATCGTATCCCTGTGTAGAATCGGGGTTGACGCCAGTTCAGCAAACCCGTCCTGAAATAGTCAAGCACGAAGCATAATGAGAAATCGAAACACTTGCTTTGAAGGCCCAAAGAAAGAAAAAAAGACTCCCCGCATAGTAGTTACTCGCCCGAAAGTTAAATACTATTGAAGATTCAGTGTGATAGGTCCAAAAGACCGATCTATCATTTTTTGTTCTTTTATTTGTTGTTTTTGTTTTTTCTTTCTTGCTCTCTCTTCTTTGCAGCAGGGCATGTCACCACCACCCCGTGTTGTATATGTGTGTGTGTGTGTGTGTGTGTGTGTCTGCTGCTGGTGAGATTTCCTCCCCCTTACAGTTCACCAATAAGACTAACGGATAATACTAACAAGAGGGATTAGTAGTAGTTGGATCATGTCCCTGCATGTCAATGGAGTGATGGTCTCCAATCAGCACCATCAGCCACCAGGGGGGGGATCAAGGTACCTTTTGGAGTTTCCCACCCGTGGAAATATTCTGGTGTCCCCGTTTAGCCCCTCCAGCTAAATCCTTCCACGCGATGGTGTGAATGTTAGTGAGCTGGATGATTGCACCATCAATTGCCCTGGCAGACTGGAAGTAAATCACTTACTTCCCTTGCTTGCAAAGAGGGGGGGCCATTGGGGATCCAGACTGCGTCCACCGGGGGGTGTGAAGCAAAACCATTGGATTGTTTACTACTACTATCGACTTAGTGTCTCCTGCCAGCCAATCTGTGGTTCGGCGCCCCGCCCGTCGCTCATTCCACGGCTTCTGCTTTTTCACCGCCAGTTATTGCAGGCGCAGATGGATTCAACAATAATTAATGGAATAGTCTGCTTGGAAGAATTTTGCCGTAAATGAAGATAGTATACTCGTTTTGATCAATTCTACAGAAATCAGTTTTTTTTTTCAATGTGTAAGTGGGAGTGTGCGTATCTTAAAATTCTCCCCAGACATCCTCCCCTCCTCCAAGAATCCAGTAAGCGCTATCTCAAACCGCAACATTCCCTGTTGTGAAACCCCACCATGACGCTCTGCCTGCAGATTACTCCTATCGACACTGCATCCAAGTTCTGCTGCAATATTGGGTATCCTCCCTCTTGTAGCTTGTAGCCTGACTGAACCTTCCAAGCGCCCGTATGGCACACAAACTTAAAAAACTTCCTGCTTCCCAAACCACATCGGCGCTATCTCATGTGCCAGCATTGCCAAGCCCAGTTTCACTTACCGCCATTGTCCTCCAATGACTTCCACTACACCGCAATCCTGTGATCTTCATTTTTCGTGATCCAGAAGTGTACTGCTTTAGTCGCTCGGGCGAGATACGTACCATTCCCACTGTGCCTTCTCCATACTCAAGTGCACTACTAACCCGGGGATGCAATACTAGCCAATCGATTGACAATCTTCGAGAACCTCCCCCCGCCAGATAATCCCCGAAGCTGCGTGGCCACCGTCGATCTTGGCTTTCCACCACTAGTGACGTCTTGGCATGCCCTACGCTCGGCCATTCTCTTAGTATGTTCCTCTCTGTTGGTCTGCATGCATATAACGTGTCGAGAGGTCTTGAGACAGATAGCACGTGGGTTGCCAGCATGGGTTTTGGGATTATTTCTACGTGGTAGATGACATGAGTAGTCTTGTAGAACTAGTTCTACTATTTCTGTTCCTTTAAGATTTTACTATTATACTATCATCTGCTTTCTAGTCTCGGAAGGCTGGCTGCTGCTTAGTGGCCTGTAGTATTTGTAGTATATATTTTGTAGCCCGATGTAGTAATATCGACATAATCAAGTGGAATTGCATTCCTACTATAACGTCAGTATGTCTCGTAGACTCAGGAAGCCGTGCTACAGTACTGGTATAGTACAATATACGAACGGCTGCCCCTTCTATTTTTGGCCCGGTTTCTCTCTATAGCAACCTGTCGGAAAGTCCCTTATTTAATGGTGATGGCAGCCGGAATATGCCTCCGCTGTTCGAAGCTCGTTTTAATACGCCCGAAATATTACCTTGGATTCGCAGGTGTCTACAGCTTCGGTTTGCTTCCGGATAACCAGATATATTTCAGCAGCTGTTATAATGTAGGATCTGTCATTTCTCCTTATGTAGTCGCAAAGGTCTTAAAGCTGCTACAGACTCGCTTGCTAAAGACTCATTAATCTTTGGGAGGTTGGCCGACGATAGACCAGGAGACTCATATAGCTATGTCACTAGTAATACCCAGCTGTATGAAGTATACTTCACTGGGCAGGAGCCTCAATCCTATACTTAGACCAGACCTGGTCAAAACCTTGGCTCTCGGCTGTAGTACCATGGATTTCCATCCAACAGAACTATAGCGACTATACCTCGAGAGTAAACACTTTCCCTACAAAACGTGAATTCTCCTACTCCCAGTGTAGGGATAGAGCAGTAACACTCGTCTTGTTGTATTCATACTGTACTGTAGTTCTTTATTGCGGTATTGAGGCTGTTCTGCTTGTGAAGTGACAGGACGAGGTAGTCGCGTCTCGTTGCCCGATACGGCAGGTGTTACTCCCATAGTAGACTGACTCTTCGTCGACCACTTCACTCCAGCTTCTTCCCATTCACACCCTGACACAACCCAAGGACAACCAAGCTGCAACCTTGACAATCTATGAGGATATACAGACAGAGCCTTCTAGCCATATGCTTTCGTTTTGGACTCATCTACAAGCGTTTTCCATGGATTTGCAGAGCTATAGGACCTATTGTTAGTGCCCAACTCCCTCATATTGCAGAATCCTGATGCTAACGATACTACATTTACGTCCAAAATCTGCTGAGGTTTTCATGGGATTGCTACGATGAACTCAGAACTGTGACAGAGTCAAATCAAGCTGGTTTATTCACCATGTCGTAAGGGAAAGATTCACTGGTATTTAAAACTCTTCCCTTTCCCCCCAGGGAGGCTGGAAGCTTCTTCTCCCACATATTTCTGCCATCTCTTTGCCTTTCTCTTCCTCTTCTCCTTCTCATCTTCTCTTCCATCTCTTGACATCTCTCTGCCATCTACTTCCATCTACTTGCCATCTCTCTACTATCTCTTGACATCTACTTTCATCTATCTGCCATCTCTTGACATCTATCTGCCATTTCCTGCTATCTTCTGCCATCTCCTGTCATCTCCTGCCATCTACTTTCATCTACTTGCCATCTATCTGCTATTTCTTGCCATTTCTGCCATTTTTGCCATCTACTGACATCTATCTGCCACATAGCCTGCCTTTACTTACCAACTAACCTTCCAGATCTTCTAGTAGGTAATCCCAGCTATCTCCTGTCATCTACCCATTTATCTATCCCCCATGTGTCTTGCCTTTCTGTATTTGAGCGCGACTGACTTTTCTATAGCACACCCAAACCCGACTGGCCTAGGTTGGGTGGATGGGACGGGCCTGGGACATCTCAACACACGACTAGACACACTAGACCAGTGAGTATCCCCGGTTATCTACTGATATTGGCTGACTTTTGTAGAACACCCAAACGCGACTGGCCTCGGTTGGGTGGATGGGATGGGCCTGGGAAATCTCGACACACGACTAGACACAGTAGACCAGTGAGTACTCCCGCCTAACTAGCTGTTGAAGATGACTGACTTATGCAGAACACCCACACGCGACTGGCCTAGGTTGGGTGGCTGGGATGGGCCAGGGTAGCGACACTCAACTAGACACTGTAGACCTGTGAGTATTTCCCTGATGAGCTCCTGATCATACTGGCTGACTGCACAGAACACCCACACGCGACTGGCCTCGGTTGGGTGGCTGGGATGGGCCAGGGTAGCGACACTCAACTATACATTGTAGACCTGTGAGTACTTCCCTGATGAGCTCCTGATCATACTGGCTGACTGCACAGAACACCCAAACGCGACTGGCCTCGGTTGGGCGGATGGGATGGGCCAGGGTATCGACACTGAATTATCATATTTTGTAGACCAGTGAGTACTTCTGACTAGCTTTTGATCATACTGGCTGACTGGTACAGAACACCCACACGCGACAGGCCTCGGTTGGGCGGATGGGACGGGCCTGGGACAACAACACACCACACACGACACAGTAAGTATTCTCTGACTTGACTGCCGATTTACTGACCCGCACAGGACTCATAACGGGTCTGGCCTCATGGTTGGGTGGATGGGCTGGGCCTGGAAGACCTTATATATGTATACGCACCTGCGATCTAATAGCACAGTGACTACATCCGAGTTGGCTTCCAAATGACTTTCGATTTACTAATCTTGCACAGGCTCATCGACATACCTGGCCCCAAGGTAGGGTGGCAGGGACGGGCCTGGGTTATATATACTTTCTAACACAACAGTGAGTGCTCCCTGACTTTACATCCTGTTTTACTGACTCATCGTAGGCGCGACAACACTTCTGGCCCACGGTAGGGTGGCAGGGACGGGCCTGGGACAACAGAGAACAACACGACAACACAACACAGTGAGTATTCTCTGATTTTTTACATAGTTAGTACTGACTTCGTCTAGGACTCATACGGGTCTGGCCTCATGGTTGGGTGGATGGGACGGGCCTGGAAGACCCTATTATATACACTTACTTCTATATACGACACAGTGAGTACTCTTGAGCTGAACTTCGCTTTTTTGCTGACTTACAATGAGCGCGACAACTTCTCTGGCCCCATGATTGGGTGGATGGGTCGGGCCTGGGCCAACAACTCGCCACATATAACACAGTAACTGCTGAGTATTCCCTGGCTTGCCTACCCGTTTACTGACTTTTCACAGGCGCGACAACACTTCTGGCCTCATGGATGGGTGGATGGGACGGGCCTGGAAGACTATATTATATATACCTGCTCGGTTTCAACACAGGGGCTTACAGTAAGTGTTCCAACCATTGCTCCCATTGCACGTGCATGTCTACTAATATTCTAAAGGCTTCAGCAACAAACCAGGCCCTGGTTGGGTGGCAGGGACGGGCCTGGGCTATTCGACGCAGTTTAGCTGTCGACATTGGACACAAAGCAGAGTCATACCAGCTGCCACATCTGGACGTGACGGACTTTGTACAGTCTTCTTGAAGAACTTCATCTAACCTCGGTTGAACGGATGGGTCGGGCCTCGAAGGTCATAAGTCGCCATTGTATTTTCAACATTTACAACACGGCAAGTACTCGTGCTCCTGAACGTGACCCTGACTTATCTGGATAAATAACTGACTCCGTGTCTCCTACAGACATCAACAACAAACCAGGCCCTGGTTGGGTGGCAGGGATGGGCTTGGGTTGTAGCACGTAGACATCGGCTCAGCACTAGATGTAAGCCTTCCCATTTATGGCTCACAGATAGAAGTGTGACTGACTCTCACAGCCTTGAGCGAACCAAGGCGCGGTTGGTTGGTAGGGACGGGTTGGGTCACTTCGGTGACCCGGCACTGGGGTAAGTCCTCTCATTCATCGCTCACGGACAGTAGTGTGGCTGACTTCAACAGCCTCCAGCGTATCAAGCCCTGGTTAGCTTTTAGGCATGGGCTGGGCCGCTGTAGTAGACATTGGTGATCCAGCACTAAGTGTAAGTATTCCCATTTATGGCTCCTGAATAGTATTGTGGCTGACTTTCTGTAGCCTCCAGCGAGCCAGGCCCTGGTTTGGTTAGCTGGCTGGCACAGGCTGGGTCACCGGGTTCAACCTCCAACACACAGTTAGACTCCTCTTTCACTTCTCTATTTCGTAGTTTCTGACATCTTGCAGGGTTCATACAGTGAACCAGGCCTCGGTTGGGTGGCTGGGACGGGCCTGGGACATCGGATTCAACATCCGTCACACAGTGAGTAAAGCCTTTCGCTTCTCGTCCTTCTGCTTGTAGTGTGTTTGACTCTTGGTAGGGTTCGCTGCAGCGGACCAGGCCTCGGTTGGGTGGTTGGGACGGGCCTGGGACATCGGACACGGGGGGTGGAGGGTTTGGGTCAAGTAAGTATCTCAATCTTCGGCTTTTATATGGTATAAGGACTGACTGCCTTTACCTTCATGGTGGAGCGAACCAGGCCTTGGCTGGGTGGCAGGGACGAGCTTGGGACGTAGTTGTAGACTTCGACAACACAGCACTGGCAAGTATTTCCACTTCCATCTCACTGATTGTAACTGGCTGACTATTCAGGTTCTACCGCTCCAACAGACCAAGCCTTGGTTGGGTGGTAGGGTCGGGCTTGGGATATCGGATTCAACATCCATCGGAAGTGAGTCCTTCGATGTCCGACTGCTCTGATCGCATGTGTGGCTAACTACACTGTACACAGGCTCACTGCGGTGGTGGACCAGGCCTCGGTTGGGCGGTTGGGATGGGCCTGGGACATCGGACACGGGGGAGGGGGGTTTAGGTCATATGAGTGACTTACATTTTAGGACGATTAACTGCCTCTACTTTGTACGGCCCCGAGCCTTGGTTGGGTGGTAGGGATGGGCTTGGGCTACGGATTCAACATCCACAACACAGTAGGTCTTCCTAATCACAGCATGTCCACATTGTATGTGTGGCTAACTGTATACAGGGTTCACTGCAGTGGTGAGCCAGGCCTCGGTTGGGTGGCTGGGACGGGCCTGGGACATCGGACACGGAGGTGGGGGTTGAAGCCATGTAAGTGCTTGCATGCGAGACTCGCGAAAAGATAGGGCTGACTGGCTCCGCCTTCAGATTGACTTCGCAACAAACTAAGCCTTGGATGGGTGGCAGGGACGGGCTTGGGTTATCGGATTCAACATCCAACATACGGTGAGACTTCCCATTGACTGCTCGTTTGATTGAATTTGTCACTAAACACGTACAGGGTTCACTGCAGTGGTGAACCTCAGACCCTGGTTGGGTGGCTGGGATGGGCTTGGGACAACAACTCGCCATATACAACACAGTGAGTCTTCCAGTTAATGGCTCCTGGACTAAGATATGGCTGACTTTCTACAGGGTTCACTGCAGTGGTGAACAAGGCCCTGGTGGGTGGCAGGGACGGGCCTGGGACATCGGACACGGAAGGGGGAGGGTAGTTGGGGGTTATAGAAGTAACGTTGCTAGATTCGCAGTGTTGGGACAAGACTGCATTATCGACTGACTGTAGAGTGTTACCCGACAAACACATCATGCCCTGGTTGGGTGGATGGGACGGGCTTGGGATATCGACTAACCCCAACAGCACAGTAAGACTTCTAGCTCATTAATCTGGATAAATTTGTGGCTGACTGATTACAGGTTCACCACTGCAGTGGGCCAGGCCTCGGATGGGTGGACGGGACGGGCCTGGGACATACTAACCTCTACAGTTCACCACTGCAGTGAACCGGGCCTCGGCTGGGTGGACGGGACGGGCCTGGGTCATACTAACTAACTTTAGCAACATAGTAAGCTTTCCGAATTATCTCTACTTTATAATGTGTGGCTGACTGACTATCTACAGGGTTCACCACTGCAGTGGACCAGGCCTCGGCTGGGCGGTTGGGACGGGCCTGGGACATAGGATCCAAGATCCTCATACTGCAAGTCTTCAATGTCACCAGTGATTGCTTGGTTGTATGTATGACTGACATTTGTAGGGCTCACCACTGCAGTGAACTAGGCCCTGGTTGGGTGGCAGGGACGGGCCTGGGTCATCGGACACGGGGAGGGGCGCTTGGGTTGTGTAAGTCGTTGTTAATCATGGCTTGGTGTTGGGAAAAAAGCTGACAGGCTACGGCATCTGCATCACTCTTCGAAGAACCAGGCCTCGGATGGGTGGTTGGGACGGGCCTGGGCATCGGATTCAACATCCACTATACAGTAGGTCACCCACTTCATGGCTGTCCAGTTGCATGACTGACTTCTACAGGTTCACCACTGCAGTGAGCCAGGCCTCGGTTGGGCGGCTGGGACGGGCCTGGGGCATCGGAAACGGGGGAGGGGGTGTGTAAGTAAGATCTGATGATTGGGTGAAGGGTTAAAAGCATAACTGACTGATTGATCTTTTCGCATAACCTTGCAACGAAGCACGGGCCGGTTAGGCTATTGTGGTGGAGTATGATCACCCATCGTTTGGTACGTGAAATGCCAACAGTGGATAATTTCTAGAAGACCAGTATGACTGATTGAGCGTTAGATCGTCTTCTGGAACACATATTGCCAAACCAAGATTCGTTATAAAATTGAGCTGTCGGGTAGACCATTTAGATAGACCATCACCCAAATAAGTCATATTATGTGCAATACCTGGACTTGTAGTAACTATGTAAAACAGATGGAACATAGCTTGACTGATCAGCGAGTTCAGATGAGTAGCACGAAAGCCTTCTCTTCCAATTTGTAGTTCCCGTCAATAACATCTCTAGACAACTTGGAAGCGAACATAGTATCATTCCAAGCCGACCATAGTCCCAAAAGGAGAGCCAAAGTGACCTACTCAGCTACAACCACATCATAAGCTCCCGACCTCAACTACAACTTCTACAGTATCCACAGAGTATCTCTTACACTAGCATATAGTCGCTTACTGAAAAAGGCCACAGAGAAATCTTAAGAGCGAGATAGACTACATCCGAGCTAGATAGGACTAGCTTAAATTATTAGGAGCAAAATACGGCAACCTTTCCGTAACGAGAACAACAACAAGAAAAAGAATGTCTATTGATTCTACACTGTATTGTATACTGCCAAGTAGATAGATAGATCCTAATGTACCGTTCTATATAGAAAGTTCTTGAAATTATCTGAACGAAAGCAGCATCGACGGTAGGGAGCTGATATGGGTAAGAGAAGAGAAGCGAAGCGAAGCGGCACTGGAGGGCCCTGCAGGAAAGGAAGTGTAAAGCAGAACGAAATTATTTCTTTGAAACCTGGATATAAGTGGTATGAAATGGCTCGGTCGCAGGATGAGGACAGTTGGGTGGGCGGGGAGGGAGGGATATTTGGCTTTCTCTGTGAGTACTGGTTGGGTGAGAACAGACTTACTTGGGTAGGTAGTAGTAATACTTGGGTATTAGTAGGTGTGAAGGGTAAGATATAGCCAGCAGGTAAGAAAGTGATCACAGTAAAATGAATGATTCAATCGTGGTCACAATTTTCTTTGAAACTAGAAGAACTAGATAAGTGTACGTACATCCTGGCAGAGAGGCGATGTTATGGAGGGAGCAGCCTACAGTTGGGCTGAAATTGAGAGTAATGTTATTGTTGGCAACACTAGGTGGAACTGCTTCTATAGTTCATTTGCGCTCGTGGCCTTCCGTCCAATTAGTCTATATTAGGTATACTGAAGATAAGAGCCCTCTCTGGAAGCCTTGGCTGCGTCTTGAAGGGTTTCCCTCAGTTCTTGGGCTTTCTGCTCGTCCATATCCAAAAGACATCGAATGGAGTCAAAGTGTGGTTGCCAAAGCGTGCTAACACGCTAACAAAGCATAAAGCAGAGCAGAAGACGAAGGCAAAGACGTGGACAGCCGTGGCATCATCCCGTTCTGGAAGCCTGCAGCACGATAGAGGGTGTGGCGATGCTTGCTGTTGAAGTAAATTGGATCCAACAGAAAGCCGACTGATAAAAGGGTGACTCTGGGCGGCAGCAATTGGGATGACGAAGATACGTAGCGCCCTAGTCAAAATTCAACTCCTTAGTATAGGCCATTCAGCATGTTAGGATAGGTACTGTGAATGGATCAGGATATATCCTACGCACTGCACCCAAAGTCGGGGGAGGTTTCATTGCGTAGAGGATCAACGGCATGTTCAGTTGACATCCCTCACGGGCTGAAGAGATTCTTGCTTCCAATAGAAGGAAGTGGAAGAGACTGACAGACTTCAAGGGAAGGTCAATGCGGGACAAAACAGGAAAGACTACCACCAAACCAAACGGTGCAAACTCTTTCTTCATCCTACCAATCACTACTTCTTTTTTCTTATGAATGAAATCTGGTGAGAACTAATGATGAGAATTTGGAATCAAGAACACACAATCTCGAGCTGAACACTAGTCATCTAGACGGACCATTCTGACTGACCATTCCTGTTGTCACCCCATTCCTTGCATGTCTACTGCGATCAACAAAGCATCGGTGACCATTCTTCCATTGGCCCAGTATAATCTGTAGCATAATCAATAGCCCACCAGACTGGCTCCGTGCAAGCGAGGATCATGTACGTGCCTATGGTGTTCAAGCAACTGCAGTCAAAGTATTTCCTCACGTATGCATTACCGATGAGTGACAATCGAGCTTCCCAGGAGGCCTTATCGTATTGGTAGCAGCCAGAGCAGTCTTCAAAATGAGCTAAGCAGTTGCGCAAAAGTTCGTCGTACCGATCCTTCTTGTGGCATCGGTTGCGGAGATCAAAGTCGTAGGGATGTGCACTTGGTGGCAGCGGGTTCATACTATTCAGAACGGGGTCACCATAAGGGTCCTCCATTCGCTGATTGTTCGGATCTGGCGGAACCAGGTGTTCAAAGAGGATTGTTGTTTTATACCGCGCCATGTAGAGCTGCCAGGCCAGGCAACGCCCAGCAACGTACAATACCCAGTCGGCTCCCTCATCGAGGGCCCAGGCCCAGACATCAACACAGAGTCGACGGACCATGTTAGTTGCTGGCACGCCACAATGCGCACCGACAATGGTTACCACATTATAAAACTCATTGGCTTGGTTGTCATGGCGGTAATCACAGGCATCGTGCATGGCCACCGTGGCAAACGAGATGGCGTCGAGAGTGAGCTCATCTTCTTTCAAAAGGCCATTCTCAAGTCTCGCCTGCAGAACAAGACCCCGGGCACCCGCATTGATCAGTCGATAACGGATACTTTGCAATTCGTCTTCTGGAAATCTTAGGCTTTCGGCTTTTGGGTGAAGAACGTCAAGATAGACTGCCTGCACTGTGGCAAGCCAGGTATCCATCACCTTATGATATTCTCCACCATGGGGATGGCAGCGATAAACATGAGCGATATATTCCACTGTGCGCTTTGCCGTTATTTCAAGCACAGAGGACATATCCTGGCAGAAGTGATGATAGTCGGGAAACGTGGCTAGGAGGGAACATGTGGCAGTTCCACGCACGCAGTCCTTGCAAAGGACATTATCGTCTACTATGGACCAGACATATCCATATGTTATCTCAGCGACCGCATGCCAATATGGAGTGTCTGGAACATCGAACGTCTCAGACATGGGCCGCAGATGGGCTCTTCCGCGCGGAATTAGGCCAGAGCGAGGAGGCGCCTTCAGAGGACGGCGAGTATTGGGAAATTCCTTCAGCGTGCGGGTCCAAGAGATACTTTCTCCAATTGGACATGGCTTTATGTGCGTGTCGTAGGACCCTACTGGATTCTCCGGATGAAATAGCTGGGGCCCGACGTTTGGAACCCAGGATTCTCTGAGTCCAGGAATAGCCAAAATATCGGAAATAATTCCCTTCTGTATTTCCTCTCCACGTTCGACGCAGTAAAGGCTCGGCCCGAAAAGGCCTGTCTCCATGTTTCTTTAATTTATTGGTGTCGAAAATGCTAGTGTATTCAGAGACTGAAAGAAAGGGATCAAGACAATCAAAGATAACTCGTACGAGATGATCAAGTTCGACCAGACTACCTGAGTGCCCTGTGATCAAGAGTCAAGACCAAGTAGTAATGGGGAGCACATTTATATCCATAGTGTAGACAAGTTAACCTGCGCAAATCTGAGCACTGATACTAGTAGGGGTAAGTGTCACCGGCAAAGATTTCCGCGTGAACAGTTTCAGCGCCGCCATTATCTGCAATGTGATAGTACTGTCCTACCCCTCCTCGTAGGTCGTTAGTGATTGTAACGGAAGGGGTGGGGGGGGCTTCTCTGCATAGATAGGTGCATATGTTGTGAAGACGATCTATGTCAGCCAGTCACCGCTTTAACCATGACTGGGACCGTGGTTACAACGGAGTTTCTACACTATCAGAAGGAAAAAAGCAGAAAAGGGGGAGTGAACGTCAGCATTTCGTTCATGGAGTACTGATTTGAGTATTAGATCTGCTAGGAGAGTGCCTCACAGTTCAGCGTATGCACTTCAATCACAATCAGTAATCCAATGACAACTTAGAATGTAACCTCACAAGGGATGACTCGTAAGTGGTACTTTCATAGTATCTATCACAAGTAAAGAACTTCGTTGGGCAGCCTGATAGAACGATGACGAATCTGTGCGCTGTGAGGATAGTTGACGCATGGCGAGTAGTATCGAGTACGCTGCTATCCTTCGTATCTGTACGATCCACTCACCCCCCCTCCCACCACTACTCAGAAGATAATCATAATCACTGAAAGCATATGTGGTGTCACACCAACTATTATAACTCAATCGGTTTGGCGCAATCCGCTTGATGAGCGGGTGCCAGTTGATATCCCATGTTTTGAGAAGTTTTTCTCCTATTAGTACCATGGAAAAAGGCCGTTTGAGCAGGGAGTTGACTTGTATCAAGAAGATTGCTGGGTGTACCTCGAACAGAGGTAACGTGTATGCAATCTAGATAGGTAAAAAGAACGAGAAAACGTGTGTCATTGTGTTCTTTGTGATTGTGCTGTATGATGATGATTATGATAATCCTAGATACAAAGTGGAATGCAGCCAACATGCGGATTATGTGCGACATTCCCCCCAAAGGGGAAGGTGCTCGTGACAACCTAGATGGTGGGATCGACTAAGGTTCTGTCCATGTATGATCTGGTTGACTCTGCATCAGCTGCTTGTTTTTCAACAGGTGGGAAGAGTGCCACATGGTCTGGGAATTCGAATCACCGGCTACAATTAAGACGAAAGACTCATCTTCCAACCGCTCTAGCAATTTCTCTTCTGTGAGTCCGTTGCCGCTCAATAGAGCAGCAAAGACGGGACCGCTGGCCAATTTTGATCTGTCATTGTGGTGGATTGCGTCCTGGGCTTGCTGCCGGAGCCAGAGCTTGAAGTCAACCAAGTCTGAAACTGAGTGGACCTAGCGCAGAAGTGTTAATGGACCGCTCCTGAAGAATGTAACAAGAATTGGTAGGTAACGAAAGATATGAATTTTCGCCGCTAATTCATTAGCTGAGGCAATAGATTCACTCTTGAACTTGGGATCGTCCAGATAGTGAAGATCCTCCGCATACAAGTACTGCCCGAGTATATCACTAACAAGTGCCCCAAAAGTTGCTTTGAGGCTGACGATGATGCCCCACCCCCCCGCTGAAGATAGACTCCAGACGTGAAGACAACTTGCTGATCTTGTCTTGTATTATAGATTCAGAATTGACAACAGCCCTTCTCGTGAAAAGATGACTGATGACAGCGCGGCGGGATCGATGAAGGTCGTGGCTGACTGTGGAAAACATTGCACTCGGGCAACAAGATGAGTGAACCAATTTTGTAACTTTGTCTCGCTTCCAATTGTTACTACTTGCATAAATCTCGTAAAAATAGGGGTCCTTGATATGCGTTCCAGGGGGCTGACTCGCACTATTGACCCTTTGCCTCTTGTAAGTTTGATGAAAGCTATCTCTCTCCGAGCATCAGTCTTACCATAGCGTTCATGCATTCGCTCCACCTGCCAGATATATGTCCAACCTTTGACTACATCGTAATAAAACTCATACAAACTGGTAGCGGCAGCTAATTCCGGGCCTGGTATTCCATGGAGAGGGCGCAGCACCAGACGATAGAGTGTGCGCAGTGACAAAAAGACAAAAATGGCAAGTATGGCCCTGTAGTAGTCCATATTGGGGTATAATTTGGCGCTCGATGAGTTGGTAGTTGTCGATGCCAATATTTCCCCGTGCTGGCTGATTTTCTAAATGATATCGAGGATAGGCAAATGCGATTACACTCGCAGTGACTGAAGGGAATCTAGAAATTCGAGTTTCTGCTGTCTCTTATGCTACATCTATGCGACGCAAGGGGTTGAATCAGCAACAGAACTCATGTATTATTGGGTGTTTTCGATTACGTGCAACCAATAGCCCGAAGGCGAGACACACCCATATCGTCAACATGAGCACAACATAACCCAACAATGTATCTTGGCTCACAATATCTGCTATCAGCATTCGGCTTAGCGAGACACGATTCATGGCCGGACGCTCGAAGCCCATTTTGGCAATGTAGTTGAAGCAGAAAAATAGCCGTTTCCTCGAAGACGGCGGCAATACGGATAAGGCCATAGCGGAGTCTAGTGTTGAGTACTATGACATAGTAGATTGCTGCGTCACTGGATTTGTGCTGCCTGAGTCGGTGGATCTGGTGTCAGGTGCAAAGAGTGACACGATGAAGTGCCGGGCATATGAATGGAAGCTTACTCTGTACATTCAATCGAGTCCAGCATAGTGGATAGGTTCCAGAGGAACCCATGCTAGTTGCCTAAGCGCATTAGTGAACATCTCGCTAGCACCAAATAGATGGACTTGAATCCGGATCCTGAAAACAACTTTCGATATCACTTAGAAGAAAAGCCCATTGATTTCTGGGGGGAGCCATCCGACAAAGTACGATAGAGACGATCGGAGGTCGCCTGACTCGTGTGTCAGCAAGGGATAATATCGTGGTTGTTTGCCGAAAGTCGTGGCATGAAAGCTGGTGATGTTTCAGCCCAGCTACTACAGATATCCCCGCATCGGCTTCAGAAATATTCCCGACAGGATGATATCTCCTCCCTCAGTAAACTATTAAAAAAACATCGATTTCAAACAATTCTCAGCCGATTGGATGGTGCGTCAACAGCTGATGATTTTTCCAATGGTCATTCGAATTAATAAATTAGTCACAAAGTATTTATGGCTTTGATTTCCTCCAAGGTAGCGATCGATGGTGGTGGGCCAGTGGTTGGGATGTGATCCACTGCGCTGCATCCCCCGCAGTCTCGCTTTGACAGATCGGTGCACTGATGGAGACCCATTTTATATATACTATTTAGGTGTGCACCGATACATATCAATGGGTGGAAAAAAGGCGTGTTTAAAATGGTGGTATTATTAAAGTTGGTGGAACTAGAGAGATGGAGATTTGACCACTGGGTTATGTGATATATCTTCAATATTGAATCATCATAGCTACTATGTACTTGACTAAGGGGGAATACATCATCATCACAGAAGAACATCGTGGTCATCAACTATGGCATTATCAGGCACCAGGCCTTGGAATAAAGGAATCTAACCGTCCTCACAGCACATATACAAGTTCGTGGTTCTCCCAATCTGTAAGATCCATCCATCTGGTATATGGTTAGATAGATCTTCCACAATATCAGGAATGCATTGACTTACTCTTGGTTCTCCATTGGCGCGTAACCTGGGCTTGCACGGACACGGGCCTTCTTCTCGTTCTGTACACGGTACCACCACCAGATGAACGCGAGGATGAACAGGCAAACGCCCCAGCAGACAATAATGGTGATCTCTGCAGGAACATAGCGGGGTGCGTCTTGGGGACGGAAGACTTGGGGGCCTTGATTACATGTCCGTCAGTTGTGATGTTCCATCAATACGAACGGGAATAAAAGCATACCGATAATGTTTCCTGCACAGTATCCAATGAGGTAGATCGCCGCAACTGTCGTCTTCTTCGTGTAGCCAGCTACGTTAGACGAAATCATGGCGAGCAGTGCCACAAACGGCGTGGCGCTTGCCATCGTCATGTAGTAGCCTAGTAACCGACCAACATTATTCGTAAGAGGGAGTGCAACAACGAGTATCATGCCGATGATGGAAGCTATGAGACCGCCTGTGCTGCAGAGCAGCCGTTGGTTGGTGTACTGTCCGAGGAAGCCACTTCCGAGCAGGGAGATGACTTCGATGGCACCGCCGGGGACACCGTAGATAAGACTCTGTTCTTCTGTGTATCCGAAGCTAGTGATCTTTGGCAGCCGGGCGGGTTAGTACATGGTAGGTTGGACAGGTAAGGGCAAACGAACCAACTGGCTGAAAAAGTTCGTAATACCGCCGTTGGGAATATCAGCGATGAGGGCATAGAAGAAAAAGGCCCATGTCATAGGGTCTAATAAAGCTTCCTTCACTTGGTGAATCTTGAAATGCTTGTTTCCGATTCCTTGCTGATTGACACGCACACGCGCAAGGGCAAGGACACGGTCTTCCTTCTTGAGCCATCTAGCGTTGAGCTGATTGTCTGGAACGACCCAGAGGAAGATCAGTCCCAGACAAACCGTCAAAAGGCCAGTCACGAGGAAAATAATCTTCCAAGGCTCAATGGAAGAGCCATGGCGGTCGGTCCCAACGGCGATACCATACGCAACCAAGCCACCAAAAATCTGACCCCATCCGTTGAAGCTGAACCAGATGTTGACTCGACTGCCTTGCTCTGCTTTGGTATACCACTGTTTATGTGTAAGGAATCTGAAAATTGGCTGAGCCGGATGTTTGTGACACTCACCTGAGAGGTCAGCAAAGCAAAACCGGGGGTGACAGACGCTTCAAAGACACCGAGGAAGAATCTAGAGGATAGTAATCAGTAAGTGAAGTGAAACATGATATCGAAGAGGCTATTTACCGGATGGCAATGGCGCCAGAGAAGTTATTCACTGCAGCAAAACAGCATAGGATCGCTCCCCAGATTATAATGCAAGCGGCAGAGTACTTTCCCAGTGGAAGTTTCTGGAGGAGCCGGTTGGTCGGGTATTCCCATGCCAGGTAGCCTTTATTGTGTCAGTCCAGCGTACCATATATTATGTTGCTAGTATGTGGTGGACTAACCGAAATAAAACAGACTGCCAAGCCACTGGTAATCGTCGCCGACGAGGTCCAAGTCTGTCTTGATGCCCATAATACTAGCATAGGATAATGTTGTCTCTGCCAATCATTAGTATGAACCTTGGGAGGCTACCGCGGAATACACTAACTGTCTAAGAAATTCATTCCATAGACAAGACACATGATCGGCATGATGTGCCAATCAACTATCCGAAGTATCCTTCTGTTTGTCTCCTCGTCGAGTGTGATAACTTCACCATGGAGGTCTTCGAAAACCGCCAATGCCTCGTCTGCATCCTTCGCGTGCTCCGCAATTGTCGGGTCAATTTTCTCTGTTGTGCCAGTCTCCTCATCCACCGTCATCGGTGGGGGAGACTTCTCAGTCTTTTCATCCGCCATGTTGAACCTGGCTCGGAAAGGAGGGTTGATTTAGTGACCGCGGCAGCGGGGAAGAAGGGAGAGGTTGTTAGTAGTCGTCGGAGAATTTTCAATCTGGCGACAGCTGTCTCCTTTTAAGAGATGACAGCTCATTCCGAAAACTCGTCATCCGACCCCATCGGAAGCACAACGAGGCAAGTTTCTTTTATCAACTTGGCGCAGGGGGTTTCACTCGCAACCCTCGGTGATAAGCCGCTGGTCAATGTCATGTTATCTGGTATCAATCTGGGGTAACGGACGAGGAGCTTATCGATGGAACCAATGGGTCCACGTCTCCCAGCCGAAGGCCCACTTATAGTGTCTTGGGTAGCGATGAGGGGAAGCACTGACATGGCTCATGGATGTCTTGGTTAGCAATGGTGATGAGGGGAAGTTGGAGGAGATCGCGAGAAGGTTGGGGCGAAACCAATGGGAGACCAATGAGGACCGGCATCGGGGTCTTATCCATTGGATGAAGTAGCCGACAGAGCAAGCTCGAGCATCCAACTAAACTAGTAAAGTTTCACGGGAGGCGATAGGACAAGGATGGGAATGGAACGATGGAAGGATAGGAGCTGCATGGATCGGCCCTTATCACGCGACGGACATGGCGTCCAACGCCCGAATGTGACGTCTGGGGCCTCGGGCTGGAGTGACTGTCTGGGCAACTTTGGCAACGATCAGGGAGGAAGCATTGCCAGAGGGCCAAGTCTTTGATTCGCCATATATTCTCGAAAGTATCGTACTTCAATTGCAGTAACTGGTTGGGATGCAGTTGAAGCCGAGTCAGCAATCCTTATCTGCGACAACAATTAAGCTTATCACCGCCCTTATCAGCCACCCGTCGCCATTTGCTCTACGCAAGAGTTACAGGACTAAGTACTTCGCAGCCTGCTTATCTGCATCAAATCGTCGTACCGCATTGATCCCGTGCCGCACATAATATCCTGCAGGATCAATACCGTTTTGACATCCGATGCCGCAATCTGACTACCCGTGCTCGACATTGGTTTGTATGCGTAGCGTTACGGCAAGTTGCATTTCTATATCATTCATAACCATCAAACTTTTTCCCTCCTTCTATAGTATTAGTTTCCGCCGACACGGGCCAGGTACGCCTCCCAACCTTCCTTCTGGTACTGTTGTGCAGCCTGCACCGGGTCCGGCGCGGCGTAGATACCGCGACCCGCGATAATGAAGTCAGCGCCCCGACCGATAGCCGATGCGGGCGTCTGGTACTGCTGACCGAGCTTATCTCCCTTGGACGAAATGTTCACACCAGTCGTGAAAACCACAAAGTCCTCCTCATCCGAAGGAGAGCTGACTTCCGACTGCACCTCACCCAACGAGCGGGTCGACACAAATCCCATGACGAAGTTCTTGTATTTCCGGGCATAATCAACCGAAGAAGTAGTGTACTGGCCGGTGGCCAAGGAACCCTTAGAGGTCATTTCCGCCAAAATCAACAGACCACGTTCGGGACCGTAGGCGAAGTCCGGTGCAGACGCCGTCTGAGCGAGAGCCTCGACGATACCCTCTCCAGGTAGGATGCTGCAGTTGATGATGTGGGCCCATTCCGAGATGCGGAGGGTACCACGGTGGTATTGCTTCTGAACAGTGTTGCCGATGTCAATAAATTTGCGGTCCTCGAAGATGAGGAAGTTGTGCTTCTGCGCAAGAGCCTTGAGGCCCTCAATGGTCTCGTCGCTGAAGTCAGAGAGGATATCGATGTGGGTTTTGATCACGGCGATGTAGGGACCGAGACCTGCAGTCCGGTATCACCGTTAATAAGTTTGCATGCAGCATAAACAGGCAGAGTAGCGGGTCGGCCTACGGTCAGCAAGATCTAGTAGCTCCTTAGTGGTGGTAACGTCGGCCGAGACGGTCACATTGGTCTTCTTGGCCTCAGCAATTTCGAACAGCCTCTTGGCCAGAGCATTGGGGTGCTTGCTGGCACGGGCAGTGTAGGTCAATTGCGACTTGGAGGACATAGTGTCGGTGGAGGGGTTAATGCGGGGATGGAAAGAGGGTTGTATGAATGAGAGTAGCTTGGAGTTTTTGATTGATAGGCCCTAATTGGTAGATCCAGAGATGCGCAGATAGTACCGAATAATTTAGCAGCGACTGGCCCTTGTGATGAGGTGAAACAAATGACAACGTTCAATGTCGAGCAAAAAGAGGAAGCTCAGTAAAATCATCGCGAGCCCCTCCACGCACCAGCCACATCGGGGGTGGATTGCTCCGCCTCCGACCCGTGGGGTTCAGCCACACCTGCAAAGGCGGAGTTCCCTTCCATTGAATGTGCCACACCCGAGATTCATTGGAGAGCTCGTATTCCCTGCTGCACATGGGGAAATAGACCACGTCAATCAGAAAGCCATTGTCATTGCCGACCCTAGCAGTACGCATAGTAAACGCGTTGAGTAGTAATATACAATAGTAGAGATTATTACATATAGCTGGTATGGTCAACACCGCCAATCACACCCACGAAGTCAATTCAAACTTAAAAGTAGGAAATCAACTCCCTCGCAACTCCAAAAGAGGTCAATCCCCAAAGAGCTCCTTGCGCAAGCAAGTAGAAGCTGCCGTACAACCGACCGCGACCCCGCGGCTTGCCGGAGTACACGTATCCGTAAAGGAACAGTGAGCGACCGAGGACCCAGATGCTTCCAAGGCCAGTTGCCAACTGGGGGTACTTCAATCCAGCCACCAGGATGAAGAGCATAGTTTGGCTGGAGTTCTCAAGGAAGTTGGCATGAGCGCGCTGAGCGCAGTTGAACTGCTCAGCCTTGGGCTGCACGATTGGGAATGTACGTTAGCTCGAGAAATCCTGTTCGTCTGGGGTTGGCTTACGTTGGTCTTGCACTGCTCTACGGTCGCATAGCAGTGAGGGTAGGGGCAATCGGCGTCCTTACGGAGACGAGACACGACGGCGCCATGGACGAAGCTCAGGACGGGGATGGCGCCCAGAGCGACGGCAATGACAGAGCTGCAGGATGATTAGCATCAGACTATATGGGACCTAGTAGCATTGTTTGCAGGGATTGTAGAATTGGCACATACCCGTAGTTTTCAGGAACGGTCAGAGTAAGCATGGTGGATTATTAATTTGTAGTGTTCTCGACTTGGAATCTGCTATGACTAGGCGGTATTAGGCAGTCTAGAAGAAGCCGAAAGTGATTCAATTTATATAGTCGGAGATTGATGGGACGCAAGAGCGGCCGGATGCGGATCCAGAGCATCCTTGGCGGATCCCTGAAGACCCGACTCCGACAGCGTTGCCATTCACACCCGGAGAATTAGTCAACCGCGAACAGAACTGCAGTAAGCAAGATGAATGAAACAGAAACACCTAGAAGGTTCTGTTGTGAGGAGCGCTGATGGTACAGAATCATTTACTATGCTTGCTTTGCTTTTCGACCAAAAAAAAAAAAAAAAGAAAAGGAAAAGAAGAAAAGGCTAAATTTGATGGCATTTATTTACATCTATGGCAAACAGCGGACAAGTACGTGCCACTACGTTCACATTCGGCTCACACTACCGTACTTCGCTTGCCAGGCAAAGAAGTACAGTAATGCTCCCAAAGGCTGGCCGACAAGACAGAAGCTAACCCAGAAAATGGAATTGCCTATCACCTTCCCAGTAGGGTCTTGGATCTTCTCCAATGGGGCGGTGATAATGATCAGCGGTAGTTGAAACATCATGCCCGCAAATGCCACACCTGGCTTGGTTAGTTTGGGCAGATAACGAAGCGGGAGAATGATGCATACCGATAAAATTATGCGTGGGAATACCCACAAGAACCTCATGCAGGACAGCAGAGAGAGCGAAGACAACCGTGCTCGCCGCAAGAGGATGCCACCCACGACCAACAAGCGGCGAGTAGACATGTCGCTTCATGAAGAGATATACAGGCCGGTTCCATGACCGCCAATACACTCCAAGACTGGAGCTATTCCACCAATCAGTGTAGAACTCACGGTCTCCGAACCGCATCACCTCAGCCAAAGCATTCAGCAGTGACTGGAAGAGCGCAAAGAACCCGGCCAGCCAGATGATAAGAGAGATTGTGGACAGTTTCATCACGCGCTCCAGAATAGATGCGATGTCCATGACGGCAATCTTGTCGATTGAATTGCGCAAGACGGGGGCCGCATACTGAGCAGATAGAAGCCAGATGAACACGGCTAGGCAGAAGAACTCAGACAGGCGCTTGGCCACGAACGACCACCGGATGTGTGACGACCTGGGGTATACTGGCTGATAAACTAGCGTAGGCGCCAACCAAAAGTAGACCAGGTTCCCCAGGGTGATATTGTTGGGGTATGGGCAAGCCGAATATAATTCCGGGAGGGCGGATTCGACAGAAGGGTTGAGCATGGCCTCGCGCAGGTCGCGATTAGTGAAGGCATACGAACAAATCTTGAAAGACACAATAAGAGCTTGAAGCTCACAAAGGGTGCCAATGCCTGGGTGGTGAACATAGAAATACACGACAAAACTCGTAATTCCCAAACTCAACAGGGTGTTCACGCAGTGGAAGAAGGCGGAGATCCACCATGTGTTTTTGAAAATGCGCTGTTCGCTCTCATTTGCCTCGGTCGATCCGTCCTTCTTCTTCTGGCCAACAATATTCTTAGCCTGTCTTGCCGCAGCCAGCTCTATGAGATAGGAGACGTAGAGGTGGAATGGGACGAGCGCAAAGAGAGCGGAGCCGAGCACAACATCCTGTCTCCGATAATCATGGCATCTGATGCAGATTAAGACACCATACTATCCGAAGCGGTCAGCTAGGCTTGCATTGATGAATGTTGATCCGCAGTTATGGCTTACTTTCATGAAGTTCTCAATGATGAGCCGGAGGTTCATTGCGACTAGATCCGGAAACAAAGCATTAGCCAGAAGCGGACACACGGGTAAGGAGGATGGGCAAACCAACCCAACACTATGACCATAAGATTTCGGAAGCCCAGGAAACTCGCCGTGACGTTGGGTTCGCGACTGAGACTGGAATGCCGAATTTTCGAATGATAGGCTTCCACATGACGATATTTGCTTCTCCTTCTCCAGTTGGTCTTGGTGGCGCCATTCGTCCCTTTGGGAGGATGACCGTTGGAAGCTTTCCCGTTCATGGGCTTTTGCGGGGATGTGTGTATGTCAGTCCCAGTACTGATAGCAGTACTGGGGCTATGTGAAGCCTCTTGTGTAGGAGACATGTTGATTTTGTTGTGGGAAACGAACCACCTTTTACAGTGGAGTGGTATCACAAGCCCGAAGTATAGGGAGACTTGTAGTTTAGCAGCTTGTCTGGCCTCGGTTCAAACCAATTGCGGGAAATAGCTTAGAACGTAGGACACAGAATCCCACCAGGGTGCGCTGTCCACGATGGACATGACAGAACACTGGACAAGTTTCAGAGACGAGAGGGGGAACAAAGGAGGGATAAGGTAGTTTTTAAATACTAATAATGGCCACAGGGAACAGCAGCGGGGGTTGCAGGGGAAGAACGCATAATTGCGGCGTCGCAACGGCCTGGCCTCAGGCCGATCCAGGCCGTTGCGGGCCTAAAATTCATGGCAGCGCAGCGGCTGGCTCTGTCGCGGCCAATGACAGTCGCGCAGCCAAGGGCGGTTGCTCTTCATTCGACGCTCCGACACCCAACGCCATCACCAAAGCGACAATCAAACCAAGCGCTGCTCCTGCTCCTGCTGCATGCACGACATGGTCGATTGGCTCTAGCTGGGGATCTTACCACCAGGTTGAGCATCGGCTAGCTGTCATTGCTTCCTCCTGTTTGCCTCCCCTGTCATGCTAGCGACTGTCTCTCCCATTCTTCCGTCATCCTTTCTTTCTTCCTTGTAAACCTACTACCTGCGTGCGGCAGTGCGCTTTGTCGCAATGGCTTTTTACGACGACCCTGGGAATGATGCCCAGCCATTTGGGAGGCCTCCGAAATCCTACGAAGGGGGAATTGCTGGACCGCGACGACCGAGTACGTGTTATACAATCCTTTGTCCCGATGCGTTCACATTTGTTTACCCCTCTACCTTCGTTTTTCGTTTGGCGAAGTTAACCGTCAATTGTAGGACTCGTGACAGACTATGGATCATCGATGGTACAATGGATACGCACACGGAAGCCTCGCTATAAGGGTGGTCATCAGATTGAGGTGGAAAGGCCTAGTGCAAGCTATGTTGTGGATGTAAGTGCGACAGACGTCCGCGCACATTCTGATACAACTCCTCAACTGACACGAGCGGAATTTTTCTTTGTTAGATGCTCCCACCTCTTGCCCGAGTTCATTCTCCAGCGGACACTATCCCGGTGCGGCATTTACATCAGTCAATCGGAAAATCGAAGAAACCGATCACTGTCGTACGATGGACACCGGAAGGAAGGCGCCTGCTGACGGGAGGACATACGGGCGAATTCATGCTCTGGAATGGCACTGCCTTCAACTTCGAAACAGTCATGGATGTGCGTGTTGCTTGGTTGTGATTACCTGCTGGTCGAGGATTCGTTGCTGATGTTTGAATAGGCACATTACGACCAGCTGCAAGCTGGAGTCACTTCCTTAGCTTGGTCTCACAGTCACGACTGGTTGATATCCGGAGGACAGAAGGGTGACGTGAAGTATTGGCGACCTAACTTTAACAACGTCGAGACGATCGATGACGCACATCACGATGCTGTTCGCGATTTAGCTTGGTCACCCAGTGATACTAAATTCCTCTCCGCATCCGACGACACAACACTGAAGATTTTCGATTTCACTGCAAGAACTTGCGATACCGTTCTTACCGGTCACAATTGGGATGTCAAATCCTGCGACTGGCATCCCACCAAAGGTCTGCTTGTGTCTGGGTCCAAAGACCACCAAGTCAAGTTCTGGGATCCTCGCACAGCAAGATGCTTAACAACGCTCCATAGTCACAAGAATACCGTCACAGCGACGAGGTTCTCCCGCGTAAACAATAACCTTCTAGCTACATCATCTCGGGATCAAACGGCGAGAGTCTTTGACTTGCGCATGATGCGAGATATTTGTATCCTCCGAGGCCATGAGAAGCCCGTCTCCTCTCTAACATGGCACCCGATCCACAGCTCTCTCATATCCACTGGTAGTGAGGATGGCTCTCTATATCACTATTTACTTGATGAACCAAATTTGCCCTCCGGCCAGATCCCTACAATTGCGCCATATGACAGCAACGACCCGGCTAACACGCCGGCGCAGGTGATATACCCTGCCCACAAGGTACAATACGCGCATGGTGCCACCATCTGGTCCCTCGATTGGCATCCTCTTGGTCACATTCTTGCATCCGGATCTAAAGATAACTTCACGCGGTTCTGGTCCCGTGCCAGACCTGGGGAGACTAGTTACATGAAGGACAGGTTCCACATCGGAGAAGAAGCGGCGGAAGCCCAGGGTACATGGAGCCGGGGCTTCGGACGGCGGCAGATGCGTGAAGAGGAAGAACAAGAACTTCAGGATGAGGCGGAGAGCTTGGTCGACCAAAAGAAACCGGCCGGTATGTCGTCTCTTCCTGGAATTCAATTCGCACCACCTGGCGCCGCACCACAGCCAGACGGGATGGGTTCGATACTGCCCGGGATTGGGGCTCCCCAGCCCCCACCCCAGCCGGGGTTTTCCACTTCTATGCCACAGATGGATCCTGGGCGTTTAGCAGCTCTTCTGTCCAGCCAACCGCCCCCTCAGCCGAACAATTTCCCTCCCACGACTGGATTGCCCGGGTTTCCCATGCACCCTGCTATGTCGGGGACACCTCCGGTGAACGTTGACTTGGCGGAACTACAGAAGCAGCTTCTTTCTCAAGGAATATCGCTGCCCCAGAACTTCCCGCCGCCAAACTTTCCTGGCATGCCCGGGGGGCTTCCCGGCTTGCAAGGGAGCAGTACGCCCGATCACGGATATGGAAGATGATTCCAGATGCGGCATCTAGTGCTCAAAAGCTCGGTTGGCTCATATAAATGGCGTAATACCAGGTCGCTCGGTTGCTGGCGTGGCCTCAATAACTTTCGGCGAACATTATGTATGTATTATAGTCGGTTTCGACGAGATTCTGCGCTCTTGGCCATAATAAGACGAACATACTGTCCGTGAGTACCTGTTATCGACACGGCAGGTAAGGGAATGTGAGGGATTGTGATGTGGCCATGAAGACATCCCGATTCGTCTTCGGTCATAGTCCTCCTGGGATAGGGAAGCTAGATAGGATAAGGACCAACACATTGATACCACCCCACAAAAGGGGGATCCAGGTCGACATTCTGAAATTTCCCGCTTCATAAACTGCACCTAAACTATCAAATAGTCAGATTACTGCGAGTAGTATAGAGCGTAGCATCAAGAGGACTCACACGAGGCCAATTAGACTCCCCGCTAAAAGCGCCTCCAATCCACCTATGACCATGTATACTAAGGGAACCGCAAGACAGGCTTTCCAGCTTCTGCATTGCATGGCCACAGCCCATGCTGCGACCAGCAGATGGCTTGCGCCATAGAAGATCAAGGTCCAGTACAGAGTAAAACGCCAAATGTCCTTGTTGTAGTAGAGGTAGTATGCACCAGTACTCTTCGTCGGGAAGAGCTCATAGAGGGACGGAAAAGGAGGCGTTTCATAATTGATCGGAACCCGGTTGTCGGCCATTGGAATGCAAAAAGACCACCTGGCCTGCCACAGGGACTAATTAAGAGTCATAAAATGAGCACGACCTGGTAAATCGGCCGACGGCCACTGATGCGGACATATACCACGGAGGCCAGAAAGGGTCGCGAAGCTGATAAGATCCGCTCGGAACGGAGGAGCTCGTGGTTTGCACTGTTTGCTCCCGGCACGACGAACCTCGGCAGGTGATCTGGGGTTCTCCGCGGCAACTGGAAGCAGTTGCTTTCCGTTATCTCCCCATACCTCTCTGTCAGTCTCAGTTGGGTTGTGTCTAATGTCCACTTTACTGGTTAAACCATTGACGCCCTTTTGACATCATGGCGACTGAACGCTCTTTGGGTGCTCTTCTGAGATCGCTTCAATTCTCATCTGACCTTCAGGATGTCTTCACGTATGATAGCCTCCCCCTCTCCGCACCTCGGCTGCGCGGATGCAACTGACCGACTTCGCTAGTTTGCTTCCCACGGCGACCAGCCTTTTGACCGTCCTTGGAAATCCTCTGAATATTACTCTGCTCGCGTCACAGCTGCTAGCAACTCCAGCCATTTGGGACCGCCCTGTCGATCTTCTCACGTGTCGCAAGCTCCTCAGCATATTCAACACAGCCGCCATCGCGATAGTACAAAGCGAAGCTTCAGACGATTCGAGGACGCCCTACACAAAGGCCAGAAAGATCGAACGTGAGGACTGGGTCAAAGCTGTCATTAATGGAGCGGATGACAAGTCGCCGCGATGGAGACACACAATCTTGATTGGGGGGCTACTGCTGGGTTTCGAGGGACAGAACAGACAGGGGTTGCCGTGGCACGTTCGGCGGAAGCTGGAAAGGGCGCTTGTGACGGCTTCACAGCTTGCGCTTGAGGAACTGGATCCCCAGAATGAGATTGACGGTCGCTGTGTCACCATGGTTCTCAACTATACCTTTGAACTGCTGTCTGACTCTGAAAGGAGCAGGCTTGACTACGACGTCTTGCTACCCGTCATGGTCAATGCGACCTATGCATCGCATGAAGGCCTGGAGGGAGGGTACTTCCTAGGTACCGTGGATAAGGACATAGTGGAAGCTCCTGGCAAGCAATTCCAGTGGTTGGCGCAGTCTGACACGTTTGCTCGTGTGACGGCCATTTCATCTAGTCCTCTCGTATCTGCCCTAGGACCGCTCTCCCGGCTCATGGCGCATGCAATAGAGAATGCCAAAGATTCTGGACTGATCGCGCAAACCTTGGATCATATCACGGACTTTGTGCGTACACTCATGGTGCAATGGCGGCTGAACAAGTTGTCGGAAGTCGACAAGTCCGAGGAAGCGGAGTTCCTTGACGCCGAGTCCTTGAAGACCACCATCCCGGGTCTTTGGAGACTGCTTCGTAACTGCTTGTATTCAATCGTCATTGTTCTCCGCGCTGTCTTGGGTAGAGTGATCAATGACCCTGTTCTGGCTGCTCACCGCAGTGCTCCGTTCATATCCATGCAGGTGCTTCATATACTGCGGAACCTCTACTTCATATCATCCCGCATGGGCCAGAACGCTTCTTCGCAGCACATGTTTGTCACCTTGACAGCTGTGGATATTCTATCACACTACCCCGATTTGGCCGAGAACTTCCTGAGAAGCATCAAACCCAGTGAGCTCGGCCAGATCCCCGACCATCCTATTGAGCGGTGTCTGGACCTGTTCTTCCTCAACACGTCGGAGCTCTTCACTCCCTTACTATCTCCTGCATGTAGCGAAGAGCTTCTCGTTGCAGCAGCCGTTCCCTACCTCCCGGCCGGCGGAAATAACCATCTTCTGGAGATCTTCGAAGCCGCCCACAGCACGGTCCTGGCCGTGTTCGCCATCCCGAACAACGCCGCCGTAGCAGCCAAGCATCTCCCATTCTACATCGACAACCTATTTGCTGTAAGCTACCTGCATATTACCCCTATCTTTCTCAAGTTAATAATCCATTGCAGGTATTCCCCGAAAACCTCTCCGCGCGACAGTTCCGTCTAGCCTTCAAGACCGTCATCCAAGTCACAGCACCGCCCTCCCCAATCGCCAACACGCAACGCCTCCTCCCATCAATCCTCCTCGAAGTGCTCTATGACCGAGCCCTCCACGCATCCGACCAACTCCTTCCCCAACCATCATCAACTCAACTCGAGGGTCCCGACCTCGGCAAATCCCCGCCCGTGTCGGAACAAGCAGCGCTGACCCTCGCGCTCATCGACAGTCTCTGCTTCCTACGCGTCGAAGACCTCGAGGAGTGGCTTCCCCTAACAGCGCAATTACTCAACAGCATCAAGACACCAGATATGCATAAGCAATGCGTGGAACGGTTCTGGGAGGCGCTGAGTAGCGGCGAGATGGATGTCGAACGGGCGCATTTCTGTGTCACATGGTGGAGTACGCGTGGTGGCAGGGAGCTTGTTCTCTACGGAGATGAATTCGGGGCCGATGCGGAGCATAGGCAGGATGAGGCTGAGGGGCAGGGGCAGGGACAGGGGGCGTATATGAGTGGTGCTCTTGGTGCGGTGGCGAGGGAGAGTAAGCTTTAGATTTCTCCCTTCTCCTGTTATGGGATTGTATATAGGGTATGGTTTTACACAGCATGGGGTTACGATAGCCACGGCGTTCATGGAGCATTGATACCTTTTGCGATTTAGCGATGAAATCCACTTTTCTTTTTATTCATTTCCTTATGTACCATCAGCCAAACCAAAAATCATACAATCCCTCCCTTCTTTACCAACTCCACTCAGAAAAATATTATATGTATAGTCTCATAACACGCGAATATAAAGCACCACCAATCAATGAATCCCCGGAATCCCCACCCAACTCCTCTTCCTATACCGTTCATACTCCTCCCCAAAGAACGCAACCAAGAACTTCTCCTCCCCTATCACAAAACCATTAGCACACACACCAACAAGCCATAAAAACAGGAAAAGGGGGAGGGGTTTCAGACTTACTCCAAATCCTCCCACTAAAAAACCTCCACAACACGACCGCATACGCCAAAAAGCACACCCCATTCCCAAGAACCAACTGAGTGCCTAAACCCCACCAAAAGAACCCAAAGTAACTCGGATGTCTAAGCACAGAATACACACCCCCGGTAACCAGCACATGCCCTTCCCGACGGGTAACCTGCACCGTATGATTGAAGTTACTGCCGGCTTGCGCCATGGCCACGCTGCGGATCGTCTGGCCCAGGACCATCAGGAATAGACCAACGGCTACTTGGTAGGTTGTGACCGAGGAGGGAAGGTATAGCGGCACCGGACGGGCGGTGAAGTAGGTGTGCGTGAGGAGACATTCGAGGATGGCGGAGCCGTGGGCGATGTGGTAGGTCCAGCCGTTGGAGGTGAGGAGGTAAGCGGAGACGGTGGCGAAGTGGGTGTTGTATGCGGCTGTGGTGTAGTATTCGAGGAAGTGGAAGAGGGAGAGCGAGGATAGGAAGAAGGGGATGCGCCAGAGGGGGGTGTATAGGGGTTCGCCGTAGATGAGGGGGAGGAGGGTTAGCGTGCTGGTTAGGCCGAGGAGGATGCCGAGGAGGTAGGCGTGGAGGGAGATGCTGGAGAGGGATTTCGGGCCGTTGGGGAGGATGGAGGTGTCTGTTGTTGTTGTTGTTGTCGTTGTGTGGTTATTGTTGGTGGGTGGTGGTCGGTATGGGCGGAATGGTGATGGGGATGGAGATGGGGAGGGAGAGGGGGAGGGGGAGGGAGGGGAATGCGACATTGTTGTTGGAGTTGTGGTAGTTGTTGGTACGTAGGTGTATTGGAGGTTGAGATTTCTGGTGTTGTCAAGGGATTGTCATGCTGGAGAAGGCGCTGGGGATGGTGTTTATATGGAGTTGTTGAACAATCGCGGGAGTTTTTTTGGAGAACAATACTAATTGCGATCCAATGCGGAGGAGCTCCAGCGGGTGGGCTTCTGATTGGTGGGGTGTGGGTACTTTGTACTTGTGGTAATGTGATGGGTCGCTGCGCGCGAGGGAAAGTTGACTTATTCTATAGGAGATAATTGATGTGTCTTATGAAGTATGTATGTGGGGAGATGATAGATGATAGTTTGAAGAGATTGTCATTTGGATTGGAGGGACTGTTTGTTATACTGGGTATTGGAGAGTTGTGCTTTTGCAGAGTGACAATTATGGCTGGCGATGCGGAGAGTAACTTGGGTTATCTCCAGACAGCTTGCAGTCATAATCACTGTATTTATGGTCCATATTATCAAGTGCTTTGTATATATCAGTGGTATAAATTCCCATCGATGCTGGGCAAGTGTAATCAGAATAGTAGGAGTCTACTAAGATTCATCATCCATTTGACGGCCCGCAGAGCTGTGCCCCGACTAAACTCCGGATTCACCCCGCCTTGATAACGCAACAAAGGAATCACTCTCCGGCTGTCTCATTCAAAATACAACCATGGATCTGCAAGAGAATCGAGAACGCATGCGCCGCGGCGAGCTGTATCATGCGTTCGTCTCCGATCTTACAGCCGATCGAGCGCGTTGCGCCAGTGCCTGTCGCCGTTTCAACAATGCGGGCGACGTGTCCCGACGACAGTCCCTGGAGTTGTGGAAGGAGTAAGTGAACACAATCACATTGATGCCCCCATGCCGGAATACAACCACGGCAGGCTCCACGCGGATGGAACGGTCTTCCACGGCATGGCGGATACAACCGGGCTGACAGGAACAGCATTGTGGGTGATACCACCCCTCTCCCGCCTGCCAGTCAGGATCCCGCCGAGGATGACAAGCTCTTAGAGAAGCATCCTTGGATCGAGCCTCCCATTCGCATGGACTACGGGTACAACGTGAAAGTGGGAGAAGGCGCCTTCATCAATTTTGACTGTGTCATTATCGACACCTGCTTGGTGACCATTGGTGCGCGCACCTTGTTCGGTCCCAAGGTTAGTCTTTATAGCGGCACGCACCCTCTTGATCCGGCCGTGCGCAACGGAACGGAAGGTCCAGAGTCGGGGAAAGAAATCCATATTGGTGAGGATTGCTGGCTCGCAGGGAATGTGACTGTGTTGCCGGGAGTGACGATCGGAAAAGGTGCGGTTATTGGAGCTGGCAGTGTGGTGACCAAGGTACGTTCGAGACTGCTTACCATTCCTGGGATCTTGTGTGAGGGTCAAAAATGGTCTTTGCTGATAAGGATGGTTGCCATGCTAGGATGTTCCCGCGTTTCATTTGGCCGTGGGAAACCCAGCGAGAGTGATTCGCAAGATTGAAACCTCGATGAAGGAGTAACTGGTAACTGAATTATGTTGGTTGCTAAATGCTCCCGCAGTGATGCATGTGAATAGAGGTTGTGTCGGTCGTGGTTAATATTGCACTTAAACACTGAGGTTACCCAACGATTGTACATAATTAGATATATCATAAAAAGGAATCTGCCGACTCGGCACAAGTCACACAAGCATTCTTCTCTGGGTTCCCCGACGCACAGGGTTGGGGGGGTTTGGTTAATTCACTATGATCGACAGCGCAGTGGGGACGAAAAAAAGACCCTGGAAACCAGCAGAATGGGGATGACACTTGACAACGGTGCGCGAGTCGGAACGCACTAATTGGCAATAACGGGTTGGTTTGCTGGGCGTAATGGGAGATAACCCCACGCTAGGAAATGAGCTGGAAAGCTTCAAGTGGAGATGGGGGGCAAATAAGCTCCAGGGGACGAGAGGGGCTCTAGCTGGGTTTGGAGTAGGGCAGATGGAGGCAGAAGGAGGTTGGCTCGCCTAAGCGGCGGGGAGGAATGCGATCATGATGTGCCCCTGCAGCTTCCCCTGCCTATCCTAAGTACAGCTGGCAGCCAGGTAAAGCTACTACTTATTTACTATACAGGTACGTCGTTGGGTACTTCTGGGCTAACTACTAAGCAAGTACTATCTTCCGCTGTAGGTTGAGATGACATACAATGCATACATTCTAGCCATACCACCCAACTGGATCCCCCGAATATTTCCTCCTACTTGGAGAATTTCTCTTAGGGCTGGCTGGTGGGGACAATGGGAAAATAAATGGCCAGGGAAATTCATGGCTAAAAACTGAGGCATGCACGAAATGAAACAAATGTCCGATAGGATTACTTTTGACGTAGTGATGTCTTTCCGCGGATGACAGAAGTACCAGCCAACGGTAACACAGGCGCTTGGGTGGAATTCTTAACCGAGAGAAAACATAATGAGATGGGCGGCTGCTCCTCATGCGTCTTTATTTATTCTGGGCCCAATAGCACCGATAGGTTTTAATTTGGATTTTATGGGTGTTAATTAATCCTTTTTGTCCAGTATTGGGATTCAAGGTGATTGATCTTCGCTTTGTTGGCAGTCCAGACCGTGTCCATTCTTACTCCATGCGTGAGAAACGAGGGGAATCATTACTACGTATACATACGAGAATTGGTAGCACAATTAATTAATCCAGCGAACCGGATTGAGAGAGCTTCCAGGTAACAGTAGCAACTATAGTTTTTCTAATACTAGGCAGATGCGATCCTGGCTTTCCCCCCGCCCAACCAAAGTTAGTGACTATCTTCTAGCGCTGCAGGTGAAAATCAAAAGGGATGTATCATGGAGTAGTAGTAATTGATGAACGGAGTCTCCCGTATTGTAGATGGAAAAGATAATTCCATATGTTGGAGGTATTTTATAAGCAAGAAGAATGATAAATAGGTCGATTGAATCAAAGAGCGATAGATAATTGGAAAGTAAAAAAAAATGTTCGTTATCCATCATTTCAACCATCCAACCACTGGCCAGGCCGATCCCCGATTCGCCCTGGAACATCCCGCCAATCCGTTGCTCCACCGCAACGTCAGAGCTGGACCTTTCAGTTAGTGTTCTTCTGCTGCTCTGCTCGTCTTCCATCTCAATTCTTCACAGTCGCATTTTACCTGAACCAGTTGTTCCCCATCCCTCTATCCCTCTCCAGCTAGTAGCTGTTTATTCAGCTTTGGTCGGTCATCGACCTGCCGTCACACACTCTCTCTACTTCAGTTTCTTGGGTGTCCGAACAGCTATCGCTTCTCCGATCGCTGCCTCTTCCCACTCACCCCTCTCAGCTGGATTTCCTCTCCCGCATTGTTCTTATCCGCAACCCGACACTTGCTTCTCGTTTCCCACACATTTCACCTCCCTTCCTTGTGTGCGGGCGCTCGGTCTGCCGTCATTTTTCCTTCTTATCAATCGCCCCTAGAGCTAAATTAGATTCAATCCTTTCCCCCATCTCCATTCACAGTCTTGTCGCGTCCCCATCGGCCGGGCTAAGAAAATGTCATGGCAGCTGCCCCGCTAGAGAGCTCTAGCACCCCGCCTGAAACAACCTCCTCGATTGATTCGACGCGTCCCCTCGGTCATCCCATGGAAGAGTCGGATCCTCAATCCACCCGGAAACGCCCTCGTCTCGACAGTGGGAGTGGTACCTGCGAGTCTAGGTCCATTCCCGACGAATCCGCCGCTACTCGATTCCCCAACGACATCCCGGATGCTCCTGCCACAACGGGCCAGGACGCTTCTCCCTCCTCTCGCCCGGCCAGCCGAGTGGTCATAAAGCTGAAGTCTCCTGTGCCCAACGACAACATGGCGTCCGAGCCTGGTGACTCCCCGGTCGAGCATCCAAGCCGTGATCTTCCCACTCAGTCCGCAGCAGGCGGGACCGGCCTCGACGCTTCCACCGCCATATCGCTATCATCATCACCCACACAGAGCCCGGAGATTGAGGTGGCGGACCTGGAAGATATGGATCAGGACCCGAATACCTCTAGTTGGAAGTCGTTGGGCGAGGCGATGCGCGAACCGGAAACCCCAGAGGTAGTGCAGCTGCATGACCAGCCGCCGCTGGTGGAGACGTTCCCCAGACTTTTCATGGGAAATGAGTTGCGGGAAAATTTGGAGGAGATATGTACGATGATTGAGAAAGGTAAAGCGCTTCTTCGATGGCCTTATGCTGGCTTTTGCCGTGCCGATTCTGACAGTTATTCCATAGGCTCCCAACATGATACCCCGGTATTTGTTGCCGTGAAAGCTTGGTTCGATGACGTCGCAAACAATCTAGATCAGTTGACTTATGAAGTTTTGGCGGAGGACCGGGACTTCTGGGAGGAGCTACCCAGCGTTGTGGATAGCTTGTTGCGCAGAGTGTGAGTGACTTCTACGTGTTTTGGCCTTGGAGAAACTCTATCGAGTTTGCCGATCAACCCCGCAAATCCCAAGTACTAACAGATTCTTAGCGTGGAGCTCCTGCCGGATGAGGGGCGGGGGGTATGGGCTTGTCTAGAAGAGTTCTTCCTCGATTTCGCTCACTTGGCAGCCCATGTCATTGACCTAGATACCATCATCTTGACCCAGGCTGTGGATGACGCAGAGGCCCAGATATCAGACCCGTTATCGAAACCCTACCTGGTGTCACTGGGTTGGATTCTGCAGCTAGGCAATATTCCGTTTTTCCGCACCATGGAGAATATACACGGATCGGACGTAGCGAATCTGGTCGCTCGTACAAACGATCAGGTCGCTGCTGCTTTAGATATCATCCAACACTTGTCCGATCATGCGGCCTGCATTCTGAATCTGATTACCCGCTGGTCTCAACTTTCAACGTCTCTGATTGCCATAGTTAATATTGTGCATAACCTGATAGAATCAGGAAACGAACGGCGACGGTATCACGCCGATGATGCTTTAATAAATTCCTCCATTTGCTCTCGCACCATGAGACGTGCTTACCCATTGATCCGCGCCGCAGATGAGAAATACCAGTTTCACATAACCAAGAAGTCTCCTTGGGTATCGAGTGAGACGAGCGACTCCATGCTACGCCACATTGCTTTCTCCTATACCACGCTATGCAATCGTGATTCAGAGCTTGCTTCACAAATCGCGGAGGATCTCGCGATAGAGCTTTCAGAAGATGTAACCCCTGAGGACCGTTCCTCTATCATTTTCTATGGTTGGAAGTTTGGCGTCCTGAAGAAGCACATCATAGATGGACGAATGGAGCTGCGTGTTTTTGGTGTCGAGACAATGCAGGCAGAACTCGTCCATATCTGGAGGCAACATATCCACAGGAATACCGAAGGCACCATTCACCCTGTGGTTGATTATCTCGTGGGCTTCCTGCGACAAAATCGGATCGTCGAGTATATTGTGGGGATTGAATCTCACCCTCAGCTCATCAGCAGAAGTGGAAACATTGTCGGGTTCCTGGTCGTCACAGCCACGTATACCGATGCGGACACAGACACGATATGGGAGACAGTAACAGAAAGCCCGGATCCTCGAACAGTATCCGAGGTCTTAGGCATGTTGAGCAAAACCTTCCAGATGCATACCTCGAATTCGCCTGCTTTGCTCTACGTGTGCTCGAAGCTGCTAGATCTTCCGTTGGCACGCTTTGACGCACGAATGGTAGATTTCTGTGAACAGCTGCTCCATCAGGTGAGAGAGAAATGCAGCGATAGAAGTCACCGTGAGACCCAGGACCGCATTCATGTGGATGCAATTCCCCTTCGTCTGTGCGTGCGTTTGATCCGCGAGAGCGCCGGTGCCAATGACTTCCCCGTCGAGCACAAGGCCCTTCTGCAGAAGTTCGCAGCCGCCCAGCTGAAATCTTTTATGGACATCGGCCTGAGCGAGGTTGACAAAATGGAGATATATGAGCAATGTCTCAAAGACATCGCTGAGATGAATCAGTTTACCGTGGGCAGTATCCAGGCCTTGAACGCCCTTCTTCCCAGCAATGATTCTTTGGAACTTCGCAAGCTTGCCGAGGAATTCGACCTGACTCGCTTAGTGATTACGGAGTTGGCTCATACTGTGGACTTGAACCAGACCGACTTTACTGATCCGTTTTCTCTGACCGGTTTCTCGTCAAGGGTCCATATGCTGGCCCGGATCATTGATATGGTTCCGGACTCAATAACCCCGGATCTCGGTGATCTGCTTTGGCGTAGAGTCTTTATGTCGAAGCCTCTTGCCCAACAGGGCAGACGCGCCCTCTGGGACATGCTTTGCGCAACTGCCCGGTATAGCGCTCAAGCCAACTCACTCGTTGAGCGCTGTATTCAAGTCTACCTACCCGAGCTCTCGCCCACCGAAGACTATCTTCCCGAGGTTCTTCAGTTCGCGAAGCAGACAATTAATTATGAGGTCCGGTTCAATCCCCCATCAGTTGCTGGCGAGAACGAGGTCATAACGATACCGGGAATGGACCGGATATGGAGCTTTATTCTCACAGCTCCCCCTGGTACAATTGAAACGGACGCGATCACTTTTGCAATTGAGGTTTATCTTGATCATAGCATCATTAACCGGTCTCCACGATCGGCTGTTGAGGCTACCCACATTGCTCTGGTGGACCGTTGCGTGGACCAGCTCAAGTCAGCGGCATCGAGGTTGAAGGAATCCCGCGACAACTCCGACACCGTTCAGGACGCATCCATGGACGCAGTTGCATCCGATACCAATATCAAGGCAGAGG